GTGAGCGAGGGAGGGTGAGAGCAATGAGAGAGAGAGAGAGAGAGACAGAGAGAGAGAGAGAGAGAGAGAGAGAGAGACATCGATGTGAGAGAGAGTCATCAATTGGTTGCCTCCCACACATGCCCCAACAGGGATTGGATATCAAGCCTGCAACCAAGGTATGTGCCCTTGACCGGAATCAAACCTGACACGCTTCAGTCCTCAGGCTGACACTCTAACCACCAAGCCAAACTGGCTAGGACAAGAGTGATACATCTTTTTTTTTTTTTTTTTTTTTTAAATTGATTTTTACAGAGAGGAAGAGAGAGGGACAGAGAGTCAGAAACATCAATGAGAGAGAATCACTGATCAGCTTCCTCCTGCACACCTCCCCCACCCCACACACACTGGGGATGTGCCCACAACCAAGGTACATGCCTTTGACTGGAATCGAACCTGGGACCTTTCAGTCTGCAGGCCAATGCTCTATCCACTGAGCCAAACCAGTCTCGGCAGAGTAGCACCTTAAGTTTTTAGGTAGTGGAGGAGAAGCATTGCTTAAAATGTATGGAGTCAGAAACTATTCTGTGGAAAATTCTTCTACTCATTATATGTTAAATTTGTTAAGTAGAGGATTTGATTGTCATTGAGCCTTGTCAAAAAGGAAAATCTATTTTAGTAGGAATGTGCTCAATATGCAGTGCATACAATTATAAATGCATCATATTTTAAAAAATTTTCTGATGGGAATCATGCAAAATAGAACTTACCAGAATTTTTCTGTTTGTAGAATACAAACTTACAGCAATTACAATTATTATAAGTTAGAGGCCTGGTGCACGAAATTTATGCACTTGGAGGGGCGTGGTCCCTCAGCCTGGACTGAGCCCTCTCACAGTCTAGGACCCCTTACTCCTTACCACCTGCCTGCTCACCTCTCTACTCCTTAGTGCTGCCCTGGAGGTGGCAGAGGCTCCCGCCACCACTGCTGCGCTTGCCAGATATGAGCCAGGCATCTGGCTGAGTGGCGCTCCCCCTGTGGGAGCACACTGACCATCAGGGGGCAATTCCTGTATTGAGTGTCTGCCCCCTGATGTCAGTGCACATAATATCAACCAGTCGTTCTGGTTGTTTCACCTTAATGGTCACTTAGGCTTTTATAATATAGATATTAACTTTTTCAGTAGACCTTTATTTTTTAGAGCAGATTTAGGGTCACTGAAAAATTAAGTAGAAAGTACAGAGGCTTCTCATATTTTCTGCCCCCACATCACCATCCCTCACCAGAGTGTATATGTGTTACAACTGATGAACCCACATTACACATCATTATCACCCAAAGTCCATCGTAAATATTAACTTTTGTACTCAATTTTATATTTTCCTTAATTAGACAACCTCAATTTTATAAGCTTCAGGACCCAGAAATATTTGCTTTTCAACAAGACGATTTATGTTTTTCCTGAAGTTCTAATTTCTATTGAGTATTTTTTTCTTTTTATTCAGATATATATATCTTTGAAATTGACCAGAGTGAGCTCTTCTGTTGAGTTATAGCATTCTTCCAGGTTATAATTCAATCTGGATGGGAAATTTTACTATGTGCTTACTTTGCAATGCCAATCATTACTTTTTCACCATGCAATTTAGCTGTGTTGGTGATGCATAAAGTTAATTCATAAAGAAATGACCTGAGTTTGTTGATACTTCATCGACAACTTGCTTTACAATAAATTTTCAGCTTTGTAATCACAAAAGTATTGAGAAGCCCAACATACTAATGAAAACTGAGGAGCCAAAATACAAACCTGCTCCCAATACTAAAGGAAACACATAGTCCTCAACTCCTCTTTTAAGATTGTTTTCATGGTTTTAGAGTAGAGCATAAACAACTTCTAATGTCTTTCTAACTCACACCTCCCTTCACATTCTCTCCAAGTCTGAGATTGGGATTTCATTGGGTCCTAAGGACCTTAGGGGGATAGGGAATGAAAGAATTGCAATTGTTTAGTACCTTTTACCTAGTCAAAGTTTCCACATGTAGGCTACAATTTGAAATTTCAACTGAAATAGCATTGTGATAGCTTTCTGTCAATCATAAGTGTTATACAATTGTTACTTTGTTGATGTTACTATTGTCATGATGGAGGTTACTTTTTATTTTTATTAGAGACAAATAAAAGAAGTTGGTTAATTTATATATGAAGAAATTTAGCTCTTTTATAAATTATTGTTTTTTATTAATTTTAGAGTGAGAGGAAACGAGAGGGATAGAGAGATAGAAACATCAATGACATTGAACGGCTACTGGGGACCAACCTTGCAACTGGGAGGTGTGTGCCCTGACCCATAACCTCTTGGTTCATGGGTTGATGCTCAACCACTGAGCAATACCAGCTGGGAAGATTTAGCTTTTAATGGGAAAAAATTCTGACTCTGAAACAAAATAATAAGGGTGATTTGCTAGGCTTTGGCAGTGAAGGTTATTGTAAGGTTGGGGAAGGGGGAAAGGGCTGGAAATTCTGTATGTATCTACTTAGTAATTCCAATCTTTCCAGTCTTTTTGAGGCTAATTCCATTAAGCAGAAAATTAAATAATGTTGATTATGGCTACACAAATGTATTTTGGTAGGAATAAATGTAAGTCAATACCAGTAGTACAAGGATGACTTGCAACGAAGAGTCAATCTAAAGAAAAAGAAAATTATTAAAAGGAATCTAAAAATAGTTAGGCTTTCTACACTTGAGAGGAAGTATCTACCTAGAAATTAAATATTCATTTATAGACACGTATAAAGACAACGCAAAAATGCCTTTTAACATGTTCCATTAGAATGAGAAGAAAATGTGGTTGTAGCTCTGGTTCTACCATACTCATTTACTTTTAAACATTTCATTAAAATGATCTCTTGAAAGAAACTATTGTGTTGGCTTAAAAGCATCACAATGAATCAGAATTGTGACTAATTAAAGGTATAACTCAGATTTTCTTTGGAGAATATTTGGATGATTTGAGTTTATCTAAGTTCAATAAGGTTAAGTGTTAGGATGAAAAGTGTTTATACTTTTGGAAATAGAATACATTTTCAAATCTTTAATCTGCTTTGGTAAAAAAAAAAATCACATTTTAGACTGGTCTGGATGTTAGTAAATAAATGTGATTTGTTCAAAATATTGTTTCATGGTTCAGTTTTATTCAAGCCACACTTATACATGACCCCAAAGTCGCAATGAAAAGATTACTACTGCAGAAAAAAAGCCAGAAGTGAAATATTTATCAACAATTTATGTTGCCACGAGATTGTAAAACTGATGTGTTAGCTTTATGTAAATGCTGAGTAAAACATGTAATCAGAGCAATAAAAAATAACCAGCTCAGCATTATTAATATATGGGAAGACTTAATAACAAATTCAACATAAACTAAAGATACTGGGATCCTACCTATATCAGCTGAGCCAACTTTTGTTTCTGAAGCAAGGCAAATAGTTCTGAGCATCTCAGCACTGAGTGATCACAATACTGTTCTGACTTCATAGTTCAGTCCTCTTCCTCACATGTCTGTTTCTCTTCCCACCCCTCAATCCCCCCTGGCCTGCCCCATCTAATAGAGTCTTTGATCACTTTATACAGAAAAAAGTGAGGAAGGAAACACAGAGAAACTGATTTTCTGGCATTTCCTTTCAAAATAGGGCATTTCAAAGGGAAGCCAGAATACGTGTGAACATAATTTATTACAAAGGAAAGCATGACTGATGATAATACTAGTTTTGAGGACATGATATAAAAGATGACCTATGAGTAGATTTCTCTTCCAACAACGGAAAATATATTGAAAGGAGCTTAGTAAATAGAATATAAAGTCTTAAAATGTCTTTCTAAAAATGCAGTGAAAGTCGAAACTAGTTTGGCTCAATGGATAGAGCATCGGCTTGCGCAGTGAAAGGTCCCAAGTTTGATTCCGGTCAAGGGCATGTACCTTGGTTGCGGGCACATCCCCGGTAGGGGGTGTGCAAGAGGCAGCTGGTCGATGACTCTCTCTCATCGATGTTTCTAGCTCTCTATCTCTCTCCCTTCCTCTCTGTAAAAAAAATCAATAAAATATATTTAAAAAAATAAAAATGCAGTGTAATATGTAACATGACATAAAGCAATTGCGGTATTAGCTCACTGCCTGGGTGGAAGCAGACGCTGTTGGTGCTGCGGCTGCGCCCATTGGCATTGGAATGGGAAGGTCACCCTCTCCACCGGCTTGGGGACTGTCCAGCTGTCAAACGGGCGCACCGTAGACCTCATCAGCCTCTTAGTAACAAACATTGCGCTGCAAACACAACTTTGTGTCGCCCTGTTCTGGGTGACCTTTGTTTCCAAAATGTTGGGGCTTGGAGGAGCGGATTCGGAACCTAAAGGACATTACCATCAGCCACGGAAATTGAAAAGCGAGAAGGCAGAACAGGTGGGGTAGGGATAGGAGAGAGAGAGAGAGAGGCAAGAAAGTTCCATGCCCCCAATCCCAGCGGCGGGAACAGCCCGCACCCACTGCTCGGCGCGGAAGCCCTCGCCGGGGCTCCGCTCACCGACCTCCCTGGGCCGGGAGTGGGTCACCGGGACAGGAGGCCACGGAGGCAGCCGGGAGAGGGACTCTGGGACCGGGAGCCAGCCGGGGCCTAGGGGCGGGCCTTCGGGAGCTCGAGGGGCGGGGCTTGTAGCTTCGGGGGCGGGGCCTCGCGGAATTCCACGGCTGCGCGCGCCACGTCTCCCTTAGCGAGCGTGAGAAGCCGAGCCAGGGGGCGGGGAAAGCCGAGTGGGGCGGGAACTATCGCTTCTCGCGAGAGTAGGCGACGGCAGCGGCGGCGGCGGCAGCGGCGGCGGCGTGTCCGTGAAAGTAGCGTGGGGGCGGGGAGGAGCGGCGGCGTCGGCGTCCGAGCTACGCCACACCGGGCCGGAGCGCTGGGAGTCCGAGCGCCGAGCGGGGTCGTGGGGGGCGGCGGGGAGAAGAGGGAGGCAGAGGAAGGTGGGCCATGGCGGGGCAGCAGTTCCAGTACGATGACAGCGGGAACACCTTCTTCTACTTCCTCACTTCCTTCGTGGGGCTCATCGTGATCCCGGCCACCTACTACCTCTGGCCCCGAGACCAGAATGCCGGTAAGTTCCTCCTCTTGCAGCTGCCGGCGGACCTGCTCTGGCTTCCTTTCCCCCCCACCCCCACCCCCGGGAGCCCTCCGGGCCGCGCCGCGCCGCGCCGCTCCCGCTCCCGCCACGCTCGGGCCCAGCCCGGCTCCCTGCGTCCCGGTGATACCGCCGCGCGGCCCGGTCTTGCGTCCAGGCGTCCGCCGGCGGCGGGCCCCGGGCGCGGCGGTGCTCATCTCGGTGCGGCTCTGGGCTCCTCTCCTCCAGCCTTCATTGTCTCCTCCTGCCGTGGGGAGTTTGGCTTCTCACCCCCTCTCGCCCCATTGTTCTGGGCACTCTGCAGCCTTCCCCTGTCTCTTTGTCTCCTCTGCCTCTGGCTTTACGGAGGGAGCAGGGTGGGATGAGAGGGTGGGGATTGGGAGTGAGAGGAGAGTTGGCAAGGAGGAGGCAGCCGAAGGTGCATGCACAACTCTCAGTCCCTAAACCATATTCCTCCCCTCCCACCCCCGGTTCCCAGTGGCAGCTGTCGTTACAGATGTTTTAGGTGCCGTCGGAGCTGGGTGGCATGTTTAGGATTCCAACTGAGCTCACCAGCCGGCCCTTGCTCCCCCCCTCGCTTTTCCATTTAACTCATACTTGTGGTGGTTATTCATTCCCCTTAGCAAAAATAGGCTATTTTCTTTTTTTCTTTTTCTCTATTTCCTTTTCTTCGGCGTATCCTGTTTATGACGGAAAAAGTGCGAGTGCAAAGGATTAAGTCTTGAAGGTAGTTCATCTTGGAAGAGGTAGTGATGAGGTAGCTGGTTCATTTGCTGTTAGTCCCAAACCTTTCCACATGAAATAACAGTGGGCTAGAACACAGAATATAGATTCTTGTCAAGGGATTTCATGCGTGGGTAATGCTTGGATTCCATTTGTTGCACTCTTCCTAGGACATATGGCAGGTGCTGTTCTTCCTGCAGATGGAACTGTGAGGCCCTAATAGGTTATTTGTGGAGGCGTTAACAGTGACTGGTAGGTTTTGAGTATTAACATTTAGGGGAAGTTTCTACTTCACAAGAGCTTTTCCTTTTTAAAAAAAATATATATTTTATTGATTTTTTTTACAGAGAAGAAAGGAGAGGGATAGAGAGCTAGAAACATCGATGAGAGAGAATCATCCATCAGCTGCCTCCTGCACACCCCCTACTGGGGATGTGCCCACAACCAAGGTACATGCCCTTGACCAGAATTGAACCTGGGACCCTTCAGTCCGCAGACGACGCTCTATCTACTGAGTCAAATCAGTTTCGGCAGCTTTGCCTTTTTGATTAAATTTACTCGTAAGTTGGGTGTGGGAGGTCTAGGTTGTCCAGGTTATATACTGTACTTTAGGGTAAATGTTAACACAAACATTTGAATATGTTCAGAACTTCATGCTTTAAAACTGATTATTGCTTTGCAAGATCAAAGGAAGAGAGTTATATAAGCTAAAATTGAATGTAGGATAAATAATAAAGAATTCCTTTTTTTTTTTTTTTTTTGCACATTTAGCAGAGTTAAAAATACCCATTAGGTGCAGAATAGTGATCAGAGTTACCAGTTTTCTCATACAGTGGGTAGTTTTATGAAAATTGGATTTTGATCTTTTGTGCCTTTTTCTTTCCTAAGTTTATTTAAATTGTCTGGGTTCTTTGGATAGTAGTTGTGTATAAGTGATAAAGTCTATTGCTTCCCTTTATCTGCAAATCCTAGGCCATTTTGGTAATTTTGTTTCAGTTAGAAAGAGTACATTTTTCATATAGAGTTTATTTTTACTTAACCATTTGTATATTAATAGTTGGTTGTGTGGAAGACAAAAGGGTATTGGGAGATTAGGTAGGTTTGGTTTGAGTGTTGCAAGAAGCTGCCCTGATTTCAGAAATTAGTCATTTTAGTCTACACTGAATTTTTGAAATTTGAAAGTTACATATATTAAAATTGTTATTTTTAAAATATATTTTTATTGATTTCAGAGAGGAAAGAAGAGGGAGAGAGAGATATAAACATCAATGATGAGAGAGAATCATTGATTGGCTGCCTCGCATGTGTCCTTGACTGGAATCGAACCTTCAGTCCCTAGGCTGATACTGAACCAAACTAGCTAGGGCTTGAAAGTTATATTTTCATGATGGGTTTCATATGATAAAATTTGCCTGATACCGTATCATAGGCAGGTCACACTTGAGCCCCTTCATATAGTTTGGTCTTTGGAAGTGGTCAATACATACTTCAAATGTTACTTTATTTAATCCTCAAAAATATACAAAGAAGTAGGTACTATTATCACCTTTATTTGTCCATGAAGGAACTGGAATTTAGAGAGCTTAAGTAACTTTCCTACTTGGTGTGGTGGAGTCAAGTCAGTTTAGCTTCCAATCCCTCTGTTACTTTCATATTGCTAGATACAAAGTTAGGTGTTTATCTGCCCCTTCTTCACACCTGGCTCTCTGCTTCAGATTTGCCTTAGCCAGTAAGTGTGCATATGTTGATGTGTTTGTTTGGTTTTGCCTCAAATTGCATTATAAAAATTAAGGTGGATACTTAAATGCTATTCTAATCATCATTAAAATTGGTGTGTATCTTTAGAGTAGAGTTTCAGAGTTCTTATGTCAGTCTTGACTTTTCAGGGATATCCTCTGTATGAAAGCATGAAAAGATTTTCTTTGCCAGCAATTATACAGCCATAAAGTTTAGTTAAAGTAATCTTTGTTTATTTACTTAGTTTTTAAAAGATGACATATTTGGGGGTCTCAGTTTCATGGTTAATAGTTGTTTTAGTGTAGGTCATTTGGAATTATTGGGCTCTCAGAAAATATGGCACCATTTCACAGATTGTAAAATCTAGGGTTTGAGAAATAGAAATAGCTTAGTCATTGAAATATTTGGCATGTTAATTGAAATTAGTCTGTTATCCAAAACATTATCAATAGAATCCTTTTGCCTTGATGTTTTGTCTAATATTTTGGGTTAAGTGGGCTTATAATTAGTACCCCTTTTACTAGTTGAAGGTGACAATATTGTAATGAACCCTGTTATTAATAACTGGGAAGGAGCAAAGGGAAGGCCAAATATTATAGGCATGCCCAATACAGTCTGGGTGAAATAGGGAAGGTACTTGTCTGTTAGTCACACCTAGGAACAGCTCATTGGCCAGAGTGGGTGTGGCTCCTGCAAGTGTGGGACGATTTAATATACTTAAGCTCCTAGACAGTGGAGTTCTCTCTCCTGCTTGCTCCTCTCCTGGTTTGTGGAGCTCTCATGCTCCTGCATTTGCCCACATGGTCCACTGCCATGTGTACCCCTCCACCATGGACTGATGGAATGTAACTAACCTGACCCAGCACTACCATGGACTGAAAATTGGACACTAGTTTTGTTTCTAGCTCTGTTGAATCTCCAGCTGCACCTCTTTCAGGACTGGATGAAGGAAAATGGGACTTTGCAAACAAAGGGAAAAAACTGGCTAGTATCAGCTTTATGTTCAAAGGAATATATTTTATGAGTGTGCATATTTAATTTAGAGCAGCAGTTGCCAACCTTTCAGACCTCACAGACCACCAGTGGTCCATGGACCACCAGTTGGCGACCACTGATTTAAAGCATATAGTTTTCCTAAGACTTTAGATCTCAAAAGGATATTAGAGATCTGAGAAGTTTGAGTTGTTCTAAAATAAAGTCATTCCCACTGTGTTCCATCTTGATAGAAATGAGTATGTATTAGACTGGTAGCATAGACACATTTAAGTCCTACACAGTAGAGGAAACCTGCTGGGTACTTGGCAGTATGAATTACATTACAGCATTTAGGCTTTATAGATGTGGTGACAAACATTGGATTCGTAAATGCATTGTATAAAATTGTTTTTATTTAAAGGTCATATTGCGTCAAAACCAGTTTGGCTCAGTGGGTAGAGTGTCAGCCTGCGGACTGAAAGGTTCCAGGTTCAATTCCGGTCAAGGGCATGTACCTTGGCTGTGGACACATCCCCAGTAGGGGGCGTGCAGGAGGCAGCTGGTCGATGTTTCTCTCCCATCGATGTTTCTAACTATCTCTCTCCCTTCATCTCTGTAAAAAAAAAAAAAAAAAAATCAATAAAATATATTTAAAGGTCATATTGCATACTTGCTTGATCTTGGAGAATCTAAAAAACAAAGATAGGCTTATTTTTGTTTTCGCAGATGTTCTCTTAATCATGCTTTTTATTCAGACATAAAGGTAATAACAAATATATCCTTATTATACTTGGACTTCCTTTTTAAAAATGTTCCCTATTAACAGATTATTAATAAGAAATGTTGCCATTTCACCATCACATTGCTTTTTTGAAAGTGATGTTCATTCTCTTAACATTGTGGAATTGTGTTTGTGTCAATATGGATGGAAGAATTTTCTCATATAGATTTCAGATCATTTGACTTTAGATTTTTGCCTGTTTAGTTAAATCTAGAACTTATTGGTTGAACATTTCACTGTTTGCCTGTACTACGAGCAGCAGACACCTACAGAGATGAATGCAATATAGTCCTATTTTGATAAGTCTGTAATCTGGGTGGAGTGGTAGGATTATAATTAGCCAAGTACACAAATTATTATATTCAGAGCATAACAGAATGTATAGTTCTTTTTTTTTTTTTTAGTAAGCTATAAAAATATTTTAAAATTTAAACCTAATAATTCTACTTCTGGAACTCTTCTGAGGATACAGTCCTTTTGTAATAAACTGTTTAGTTTTCTTTTGGACTTTGACATTTTATAGCAAATTGAGAAAAAAGAAACAAAAATGAATTTGTTTGCCGCCACCCCCCTCCCCCCAATTTATTTTATTTTTTATTTTTATTTTTTTTCATTTCTTCTTAATACTTTTTAAAAATTCTTTTCGGGTGTCCCCTCCCCGACTCCACCACCACCACCACCACCACCACCTCTCCCTCAAATTTATGTGCTGTGTTGCCTTGTCCTACACATGTAGAATTGAAGTCTTTGCAGCAGTTTTATTTGTTGCACATTATTTTTTGTAAAATTCTATTTCACCAGACTTTTTATTAGAGGTATCATCTGATAAGTTGTTTTTAGTTACATCTCATTCTTAAAATTTTTGACTTGGATTTCTTACATATTACATTTTCTGCTTTGGGTATACAGTTAGGATAGGTATAATTAAATTAATGAGAACAGGGACACTGTATTTTAGGCAATCTAGTTATTCTTTTAATAGGGGAAGGCAGTTAAAATAAGTGATTAATCATACAGGCCTATGAGTTTAAACCTAGGCACAATTCCTATATTTTTTCTTTAGTGGTTATTTGCTATTCTTCTGATACCATCTGTAACTTTGGTAAGTAATTGAACCTCTTGGAGCATTTAAAAAAAAAGTATAATACATACTTTTTTTAGTATAATACTAAAAAAAAAAAGTATAATACATAATAGGGGAGTGTTCTAAATGAGAAAATTCATACATTTAACAAATAAGCACCTCCTATTTGCCAGATTTTGTGTTAGGCACTGGAATATGGGATGAACAATATAGATGAGATTCCTGTTCTCTTGAAGCTTACATCTTAATGTGGGGGAGACATACTACATATAAATAATAAAAAATATCAAATAGTGATAAATAATATGTAGAGAAGTAGAGTTTTCAGAGAATCTTCCTGAGAACATGTCTTCAAGCTGAGTGACAAAGGAAAGTCAGCTATTCAAAGACATGAATTGGATGGGAAAAGCTTATTTCAGGATGAACAAAACTTTTACTAGTAAAGAAAAAAACAGTAAATATTCCAGGAACAAAGGAGACCAATGTAGCAGGAATGTGGCAGGTGAGAAGAATAATCTGGGATAAAGTCAGAGAGGGAGCTGGGAAGCATCATATCTGTAAGCCAGGGTAAGAGGCTTGGATTTTATTTTAGATGCAATAGGAAACTATTGAAGGTTTATAAGCAGAGAAGTGACAAGGTCTGACTTACTACTCTATTTCTTAATGAGATGAAAACATTCTTTGGCCAGCTTGAACATATATTGTTTTAAGAACAAAGTCCTATCTACTTAAAATATTTAATTTATAAATTTTAGTTGCATATTTAAAAATTACATACGATCAGATATAGTACTTTAAAGTAGTTTTATTCCTATAAAACTGCTTTTGCCAATTAGTTTACACAATATATCTTTATATATAAAAGTCTAAGTGACCAGATGACCAGCTGGTAGCTGACCACCAGGGGGCAACTCCTGCATTGAGCGTCTGCCACCTGGTGGTCAGTGCTCTCCCACTGGGACTGCCACTCAGATGGGTGCTAAATGCTGGGCTACCTGGGCAGATGGCTGGTGAGTGCAGCTGGGGAGTTGCTAGCATCTCCTGCAGACACCGTTCCTGTGTGCCTGAGCAGTAGTGGAGGCAGGCACAGCGGGGCAGGATGAGCAGGACCAGTGGCCAGCCTGGGCTTGGGCTCCTCCCCAGTCACCTGTCACTGAGGTGCATACTACTTTGTGCTGTGTGGAATCAACGTGGACAGTGGGCTGGAGCCCAATGAGCTGGCAGGTAAGGCCGGGCTGCGCCAGCACAGAGGTCCACTGATTCCCACAGCTAGACTGAGGGATCCCATTGGTGTATGAATCTGAATCTGTGCACCTACAGTTTTTACAATGATTTACAGGTGTAATGTCTTGATGTCTGTGATTAAGTTGGGAGCATTATTCAAACAAAGTGATTATAGTTTTACTAGAGGCCTGGTGCAGGGGAGGGCAGTAAGGGGTGACCAGCTGGCAGAGGAGGGAAGTTGGGGGTGACTGGGTCTGCAGGAAAGGGTAGTTGTGGGGGACCCAGGCTTGCAGGGGAGAGCAGTTGTGGGGGACCAGGCCTGCAGGGGAGGTCAATTAGAAGTGACCACGCCTGGAGGGGAGGGCAGTTAGGGGCAAACAGGCTGACAGGGGAGCAGTTAGGCATCAATCAGGCTGTCAGGGGAGTGGTTAGGAGGTGATCAGGCTGGCAGGCAGAAGCGGTTAGGGGCAATCAGGAAGGCAGGCAGGTGAGCAGTTGGGAGCCAGGAGTCCTGGATTGTGAGAGGGTGCAGGCTGGGCTGAGGGACACACACCTCCATGCACGAATTTCATATACCGGGCCTCTAGTACAAGGATAAACTGTTTTGTATACTAGTAGCTGTAAACCTACTTTTGCTTACCCCTGTATTATTTGATCAGTCTCCCTGCATATTTCCCTTTCTGCCACCTCCCTTTCCCCTACATGGATCCTTCTTTACCGTTTCTGGTTCTGGTAGCTCCTGCCATATAGCTGCCTTGTGGATGCTTTTCTCAAAGCATGGTGCTGCCCAAACTGGTTTGGCTCGGTGGATAGAGCATCGGTCTGTAGACTGAAAGGTCCCAGATTTGATTCCGGTCAAGGGCACGTACCTTTGTTGCGGGCACATCCCCAGTAGGGGGTGTGCAAAGAGGCAGCTGACCGATGATTCTATCTCATCGATGTTTCTAACTCTCTATCCCTCTCTCTTCCTCTCTGTAAAAAATCAATAATATATATATATATTTTTTAAAAAAAGCATGGTGCTAACAGGATAGTTGAACTTCTTACATGGTGGCTTTGAAGTGTTCTATTATCTATTGTTCTTTTACTTATTTGACATCTCATTTAAGGGTTGTGGTTTTGTACTTTCCTAGTATTATGAAAAAAATTTATATTTAGCATTAGCCAGTTTGACTTAGTTTAAATGACCTTGGTTTTATTGGCAACGTCCAAAGCATCATAAATAGTCAGGACCCAGTTGAACATATGCCTTCTCTCTAATAGACCTGAGTAGTGTGTGACAGTAGCCATGTCTTTGTCGTAAAACTTAAAATTTTTTTTTTTTAAATCCTCGAGGATATGTTTTTGTTGATTTTAGAGAGAGAGGAAGGCAGAGAGAGGAGGAGAAATATCAATGTGAGAGAGAAACATCTACTGATTGACTTTTATATGTGCCTTGATAGGCAATCAAACCTGCAACCTTTTGATGTGTGAGATGATGCTCCAACTAACTAACTTTATGAGCCACCCAGCCAGAGCTGTCATAGAGCTTCTTCACAGTCTGTTTGGTCTGGTGCTTGTTGGCCTTGACATTGGCAATGAACCCAAGTGTATTTTTGTCTTCTATTTTCATAGTTGACTTCAGTACTAAGGGGGAACTCAGTGATGCCACAGTGGTCAAGCTTGTTGTTCTTTTGAGGATATTTGGGCTGCCTTTAGAATGTCTTGGGCTAGCTACCAGAAGGTGAATAACATGTGGATCATTTTTTTGTGTGTGGCTATGGATGCCTTCTAGCACCTGCCTTCTTGGCCTTGGCTTCTTTCTTTGCTTTCTGCTTGCCATCTTTGTGAAAGGGTATTTTATTTTAAAATTTAAAACTTTTTTTTTTTTTTAAGTTGGGAGCATTATTCAAAGTGATTATAGTTTTACTAGAGGCCTGTGCATGAAATTCATGCGCTCGGGGAGGGTCCCTTAGCCTGGCCTGCTCCCTCTCTCAGTCCGGGAGCCCTTGGTGGATGTTCGACTAATGGCTTAAGCTCACTCCCCCCAGGGCAGTTGGACATCCTTAGAGCTGCCGTGGAGGCAGGAGAGGCTCCCACTACCACTGCTGTGCTCGCCAGCTGTGAGCCCGGCTTCTGGCTGAGAGGCGCTCCCCTTGTGGGAATGCACTGACCACCAGGTTGCAGCTCTGCTTTGAGCAGGATCAGACTGAAACCAGCTCTCTAACATTCCCCAAGGGGTCCTGGATTACAAGAGGGTGCAGGCCAGGCTAAGGGACCCCACCAGTGTACGATCGGGGCTGGGGAGGGCTTCAGGGCATGTTGGGCCCATCTTGCTCAGTCCTGATTGGCTGCACCCCAGCAGCAAGCTAACCTACTGGTCTGAGTGTCTGCCCCCTGGTAGTCAGTGCATGTCATAGCAACTGGCCAATCAGTTGACTATCTGTCCTCTGGTGGTCGGTGCATGTCTTAGCGAGCAGTTGAGTGGCCTTAGCATGCCATTAGCATTTTATGCTTTGATTGGTTAAACAGACGATTGGACACTTAGCACATTAGGCTTTTATATATAGGATTATAGTAAAACTCTATATGATATTTTGGTCTTGGTTTAATTTCTTTTCAATTGATTTTTTTCCTGGGGACTAAAATAATGCCTTTTGTCATAACTTATATGAACTCATTTTAACATTTTATGGATTTGAGTGGCTTTTCTAATTTAATACAATTATTTTCATGTTTGAAGAATATAATTTGTGCTTAGCTTTTTTAATAAATCACATACTTCTACTACTTTATACTTTTTATTGTTTTTATAGTAGAAGGGAAAGGAGGAGAGAATGTCTTAGAAGTTACTGATTATATGACTAAGTATTTGGGTTCAAATTAGTTTTTACATATTTCAATTAGAAGTGTTTAAGTCTCATATGCAAAATGATTTCCTGGTAGTTGAGTAAAACTTCCCAAATAGATCATTTGTTCAAGTTGCAAAAATTTATCTTGTGAAATTTTCTTAAACATTATTTTAGTAGGCTGTACTTTCATTTGCCAATTAAGTATTAGCATGGTAATGAAGGTTAGTATGGTATTAACTCTGGTTTTGCCTTTACTGTGAAAAATAGTTTAACTTACCTTATTATTTTTTTGACAGAGCAAATTCGATTAAAGAATATCAGAAAAGTATATGGAAGATGTATGTGGTATCGTTTACGATTATTAAAGCCCCAGCCAAATATTATTCCTACAATAAAGTAAGTAATTGGTTTTAATAAAAAAAATTTAGTGTTTACTTTTTTGCTAGATATCATGTAAAATAGGTGTATAATAATGAATAAAACATTTATCTGTAAAGAAATTATGATCTTAGGGTGGTTAAGCTGTGAATAGTAAAGTGGAGAGCTGTCTGAACAGTATTTTACAAAATCAAAGGAGAGAGTGTGCTTCTGACTCAAAGGAGAAGGGGAGAAAGAGAAGTCAGATCTTAAACAAAAACCTTGTGCATTCTGTCAGTATTTGAATTTTTGTCTTAAAGACAGAGAAATCTTTAAAAGATTGTAAAAAAAAAAAAAAAAAGCAGGGAGGTGACATGATCAAGTTTGAATTTCATGTGATAAAGTTTATTGAGTGCATACTGTATGTCGGGTACTGTGCTAAGGCTTTATAAGTTATCTCATTAGTTTTATATTAACTTCAAGGTAGATGTTTTTGCTTTTTCTCAGATGAGGAAACTAAGACTAAGAAAATGAGGTAACTTGAATGAGATCATACAGCTAGAAGTGGTGGATTGGAGACCTAGTTAGTTACCTTTTGTTTTGGCAGGCCCATCTGTTTAAACAGACCATTACCATGTTTAATTAGAGTTGGTTTATTTGATTTTGTGAGGCTATGGCATATGCTGGTTTAGAGCACAGGCTTTGAATCTTCACCCTAAGTCATTAATTTAGAGGTGATAATACATGAAACTGATAGGAGGTGAAGGAGTTGCCATTGTTGGAGGACTGTATCTTGTAAATTGCCTACATTTATCTATCCAGTAGATAGAAGGGGAAAACCTAAGAGAAAATAAGTAAAAGTCGAATCAGTTATTTCTTTTTAAGTAAATATGTTTTTATTGATTTCATAGAAGAAGGGAGAGGAAGGGAGGGAAGGAGAGAGAGGAAGAGAGAGAGAGAGAGAGAGAAAAACAAACATTAATAATGAGAGAGAATCGTTGATCAGCTGCCTCCTGCACCCCTCACGTTGGGGATGGAGCCTGCAAACTGGGCAAGTGTACTGACTGGGAATTGAACCTTGACCTCCTGGTTCGTAGGTCTATGCTCACCCACTGAGCCATGCTGGCCAGGTTTTAATCTTGTTTAAAATGATGATGATAGTTTTTACTTGTGTAACTTAAGGAGGTTTAAATAAATTTTGTTTTTTAAAACTTTGCCTGGTTTAGTTCCTTTGTAGAGGGACGGAAATCTTGGCTTTGGTGTTGAATTCTTCAATGATGTGAAACTGAAAGGCAAATATTTTTAACCTAGCAATCTTTTTTCTGGACTTTGGTCAACACTTTGTAGGTATTTGAACCTTAGTTTTCAAGAAAAAAAAACAGTAGACTGCCAGGACCCGTTTGGCTCAGTGGATAGAGTGTCGGCCTGTGGACTGAAGGGTCCCGGGTTCGATTCTGGTCAAGGGCATGTACCGTGGTTGCAGGCACATCCTCAGTTGAGGGTGTGCAAGAGGCAGCTGATCGATGATTCTCTCTCATCGATGTTTCTCTCTCTCTATTCCTCTCTCTTCCTCTCTGTGAAAAATCAATTAAACACACACACACACACACACACACACACACACACACACCAGTAGACTAACTCTGAAGTTCTCTTCAGTGAATAAAAAACTGATTTACTTAACTGGCAGTACAGATTAAAGGATATCCAAGTAAGGAAGGGTTACATTGATACTGGTAACAATTTAGATAAGATTAGAAACAAAACCTTTTTGGCTACTTAACCCTGAAATATTCTTTCAAAATTAAGCAGTCGTTGTGTAATACTTTAATTTCTGAAAGTTGCTTCCAAAATAACTTTTAAAGTGTGCTTAAGAAAAATACAAGACTTCACAAGTTAACTAATTACTGACTCTATGTTTAGTGAAAATGCTTATCTTTTTAGAGAAACCAAACATGTTTCTAAAAAAAAAAATTGGTCATAGAGCAAGATGCAATTTATTATTTCCACCTTTGCTTTGGCTCTCGGGAAATTAGACCATGGTTTTATTGGTTGTAGTAATTTTTTTCATCAGCCTGGGGGGTTCTGTCTTGAGCCTCTGCTCTCCTCCCTTTGGCTGAGCTTTGAAGGATGAAATAGAGTTTGGATAGGCTGAGATGTGAAATGGGAATTCTAGGTAAAAAGATCCAAGAGAGCAAAAGCATAATGGTGGGACAAGCTTACGGGACTTTGTTTGAAAAATCAGCGTGATAGAGGTAAGCAGGTGGGTTGGAACTAGATTCTAGAGTCTCATTCCAAAGCTAGTTTCCTAACAATAGAAATGGAACATTTTCTTTCTGTCTTTGAAGACAGGCCGCCCCAATTTTTTTTGATTAAACCTCCTATGATTCTTTTTGTTTTGGTTTAAAAATTTCTATTCAGTGTAACAGATAATGATATTTCATAAATCTTTAAATTTCATCACTTAAAGACAATCACTATTAAGATTATTTACCTTTCTATATTTTTATTTTGCAATAAACTGATCGATGATTCTCTCTCATCGATGGATTATATTACATGTACATACAGCTTTGTGTTGTTGGTTTTTTTAATTTAATAACACAAGGTAGATAATCTTAAAGTGCACAAATTTTTAGTGGCCAGGTAGTGTTTCACTGTATGGATATACTGTTAATTTATTTGTCTAGTACTCTGTTGATAAGCATTTATGTGCATATATGTTTTCTGCTGTTATTTATATCCGTAGCTACCCTTTTATACTTTATATATTTAATTCTAGTTTATTTCCTTTTAAGTTTCTTGAAGTAAAGTAGATGGATAGTTAAAAGTGTACTATATACTGCTTTAGGTCTTTTGATACCTTATTGCTAGATATTCCTTCAGAGTATAGAGTGTGTGAGAGTTCCTTTTTTCTTTAGTCTCTCCAACACTGGTAATAATCTTTAAAATATTTTCACTAAACAGAACATATTGGAGAGAATAAATTAATTTTTTCCCAAATTAAATGTTACTTTATATCTTTTTAAAAACTAGTATGTACATCTTTTTTATATCTTTATTGGCTAAAAAATGTTCCATTGTGTAGTTCTATCTTTGTTTATTTAATTAGTTTCCTATAAAAGGACACTTAAATTGTTTCCAGAGTTTTACTATTATAAACATGGTTATTTATTCATCTTTGCATAATTGGCCCATTAATTTCTGTAGTTTGCCTTTCTAAAAGTGTTATTGTAAGGTCAAAACAATTCTCTTTTACATTAAATGGTTTATTGAATTCTTGAATTAATATATTTTCATTGAATGTAATAGTCCAATAAACTAATAAGTTGAATTGCAGAATTACTATAGTTTTGCAAGTAGTAATTGAGAATATGAAATGCCAGGCATTATACAATATTCTAGAGAATTCAAAGGTGAAAAAGACACTGCTATAACAGGAGTTTAGAATTTGAGTCAGTGGCATAGTGATATGAGACCACTTCAGATTGTTTTATGCCTTGATCTTGCCATAATGACTCTTAAAGGAAAACCATATAGGTGTATTTATTTATACTTCACTTATCTTTTTTCTAAACAGGAAAATAATTCTGCTTGCAGGATGGGCATTATTTTTATTCCTTGCTTACAAAGTTTCCAAAACTGACCGAGAATATCAGGAATACAATCCTTATGAAGTATTAAATTTGGATCCTGTAAGTAGTATGCTATCTAATAAAAGAGTAATATGAAAATTGACTGTCACTTCAACACACAAGATGGCTGCCACAAGTTGGCCATCAGGGAAGAACAGTTGGGAGGGACCAGGCCTGCAAAGGAGGGCAGTTAGGGGTGACCAGGCTGGCAGAGGAGGGAAATTGGGGTGACCAGGCCTGCAGGGAAAGGTAGTTGTCAGGGACCCAGGCCTGCAGAGAAGAGCAGTTGTGAGGGGAACCAGGCTGGCAGGGGAGGGCAGTTAGGTGCAATCGGGCTGGCAGGGGAGCAGTTAGGCATCAGTTAGGCTGGCAGGGGAGTGGTTAGGGGGTGATCAGGCAGGCAAGCAGTTGGGAGCCAGCAGATTGGAGCGGGAGCACTGAGGGATACCCCCCTCCATGCATGAATTTCATGCACTGGGCCTCTAGTTTTTATATAATGCACATTAGTTTAAGGATCCCATGAAAACACTGTAAGTCCATGTTCTAAAAGAAATTGGACTGTGCCTAAAAATAAAACTGATCAGTTAAAATTTTTATTAAAATGACCTATTTAATCCATTATTTATTATTCTAATGTACATATGTTTTTTAAGCTACAGATGATTGCCACCCTATTAAGAATTGATTAATTACTAAAATGTAAGAATATTTGAATATCAAATGGAAAGTTAGTGAGTGGGTATATTTTTAAAAGACATGCATAAGATGGGTTTAATGCAAAGTTAAAATTAGGAAATTTATATATGTTGGTTGGATGATTAAAATCTTATGTCCCTGTGTTAGTTGACACTAAGAGTGTTAACGTTATATATTTTAAAGAACTGGTATCATTGTCATAGAAATTCACATTAACCTTGGGTGACCCAGAAAATTAGTCTTTTAGGTATACCAGTGGAAAGTTAGAACTGAAATCAATGCTAGAGGTCAGCTAGTCTTTTTTCCTGATGGTGAAAATGAGACCTGGAAATTTTGTATCTTGTCCTGGATCTCATAACTTTTTTTTTTTTTTTTAATTATTTTTATTAATTTCAGAGAGGAAGGGAAAGAGAGAGAAACATCAATGATAGAGAATCACCAATCAGTGCTTCCCGAATGCCCCCCACTGGGGATCGAACCTGCAACCCAGGCATGTGCCCCTGACCAGAATCAAACCTGAGACCTTTCCACTGAGCCAAAACCAGCCAGGGCCCCATAACTTCTTAGTAATCTAGCTAAATCTAGTGCTCTTTCCAATATTTCCCCCAAAGCAATTCTTTTATTTCAAGACTCTGCTCAGTAGATGACTTAACCCCGAGAATCATATAATACAAAGTAAGGAATGTGTTTATCTTCTGGTTTTCTGCTTTGTTGGAAGCAAAATATTCCTAGAATTTGTTTTTCTTTCATTGTAATGATCATGGTCATCAAGAAGTTTTAAAAATTAAAAGGTTTGGGGGCAATTTGGTGCCATGAGAGTCTTGAAAAACTTATTAATAGAAAGTGAGTCTAACAGGAAATGACTAAAGTTAGCTTATTAAGTAATTACTTAATTGTAAAATATTGACAAAGAGATAAAACTAGATATTCTTTAGATTATTTCTTAGAAAGTAAGTTAAGCTATGATTGGAGGTCTGTTTTAGCCAGACTTAATTTATAGTGATCATTCTTTGATATTTATTTATTTTAAAATATATTTTATTGATTTTTTAAAGAGAGGAAGGGAGAAGGATAGAGTTAGAAACATCGGTACATGCCCTTGACTGGGATCGAATCTGGGACCCTTCAGTCTGCAGGCCAATGCTCTATCCACTGAGCCAAACCAATCAGGGCAATTCTTTGATATTTAAATGTCACTATCCTTTTATTTTGTTTGAATACATCATTACAGTTGACGCCTGACAGCAGGGGGTTGAGGTGCTGCTCTTGCCTGGACAAAAATTCTAGTATAGCTTTGGACTCTAGTCCTTCACATCACAGGATTTTCAGTCTGCGGTTAATTGATTCCATGATGCGAAATCTGTGAATATAAAAAAAAAAAAAAAATCCATGTATAAATAAATGGACTTGTGCAGTTCAAACCTGTGAGGTTCATGGTTTCTTTCTCATATCACCAGTGCCTGGGTGCTCAATAAAATAAATATATTAGACAAAATAAGAATATTTTTATTTAAAAAGTACATGGGGTGGAATTTATGGCACAAAATATATAAGATAAAGATTCATTTTCTCTTTCTGAAAATATTGAGTTCAAAATGGGATGGGTTTTGTTAGAGCATTGTGCTTATTTTTACTAAAATAAACCTTTTCCTTTTAGGGAGCAACAGTAACAGAAATTAAGAAACAATATCGTTTGCTGTCACTTAAATATCATCCAGATAAAGGGGGTGATGAAGTTATGTTCATGAGGATAGCAAAAGCTTATGCAGCGTAAGTATCATAGGACTCATTACATATTTTTAAGACTGGTAAAGATAGTTTTCTATTTGAATAAAATAGGAAGTAAAATAGTTGTCATACACTTTTATTAAATGTTGACCTCACATGCAGAGTCTGTCATTTCTAGAACTGCCTGGCAGAGCTAAAATGGTCATCTAACTAAAACCTTAATTTAAGTAACTTAGAGTAGAGCATTTGCCATATGAAGTTGGTTAGATTTAGTGATGTGTTAATTGAGCTTTTTCTAAGAATCCTAATTAGAAGAGGATATACTTTTTATTATACCATTTTCATTTCTAATTTTTTTTTTTCTAATTAGGCAAGATCCATTTCTCTTGTTTTGGCAGTGTAGCTTGTCTCATTTAAATTCTTTACAAGACCAGATTAATATTGGGGAAACAGGATAGAGTATATACAATTAGAAGTAGTTATTCCTTGAGCATTACTATTACAAGAAATAAAGGCTAGCTGGATTCTTTAGGATTTGTGATAGGTATATCTCTACATCGCTCTTATGTTGAGTTAAAGAATAAAACAAACAAGATGTTTGTTATTTGAGGATTTAATGATAAATTTGTGAGTTAATTTAAAAATATAAGTAAATAATAGGATACTTAGATATAATAACAAACTGAATGACAAAAGTTGGGAAAATAACTATCTTATTTTGTTTTTAATAAAAATATAGTGACTGTCTTCTCTTCTCCCTTTCCTGTGGATTGCTTGTTATCTATATGAATATGATTTTGTAATTCAGAAGCATCTGAAGTCCATACCATTTTTTTCTTTTCTGTATAGCTGATGCCTTTCAAATTACTGTCTTTCTAATGGTGTCTTCTTTCTCCCCCTTTTTAAATGTGTCTCCAAGAATTTACTCTAATTGTGCAAGTATTGCAGTGCTTTAGTTGCTGTTTTCAGGTAATTTAAGAAGAACTGAAGATTTCAGAGGAAATCAGATAGACAATGTTACTTAATTGGTAGTTCTAATTTTAGTCCAGTTATTTTTTTTCTGTCCTAGTGTTTAGGTATTGTAACATGTTCAAATTTACAAGTATGTTCTGAGGTTTCTGGAAATCTGACTCTTTCGGATGTATCACTTTTCTAAAAAGTACAGAAGAATAAAATGTAGCCTTTCATTTTAACTCAGTTACATGATCGAGATATAGAATGTTTTGTATGTAAGATGTCTTAGTTGATGGTCTATATCACACAAATTGAGAAGTAAATGATTATGGAACCCAGACTTTGAGATCTGTGACTTGTACAAGTATAACTAGATTTGATAAAATTGCACATTTTACTAAATATAAGTTCTGAATGATTTAATTGAAGCTCCCATCTTATGTGTAACTCTAGCAGCCTAAATGTAACTCAAACAGCTTTTGACCTCTAAAGCTTTTTAGAATTTGCTTTGGTTATTCAGGATATTTTCTCTTCCTTTTCTGCCCATTATAATAAACTGGTTGGGTCATTCCTATTTCTTCATATCAGATTTTTAACTTAGAGGAAAAAAGGAGGTCTGGTTATTTTTGAGGAGTTAGATCAACTATTCAATTTTCTTTTTTTTAAAAAAATATATATTTTATTGATTTTTCACAGAGAGGAAGGGAGAGAGATAGAGAGCTAGAAACATCGATGAGAGAGATACATTGACCAGCTGCCTCCTGGACACCCCTCACTGGGGATGTGCCTGCCACCAATGTACATGCCCTTGACCGGAATCGAACTTTCGGTCCACAGGCCGACGCTCTATCCACTGAGCCAAACCGGTTTTGGCAACTATTCAATTTTCTGGTTCTTCTGATACAGTTGGGGTTTGACTTTCAGGCATAAAACCTAGGCTCAAGCTGTTTTCTAACAAGTGGGTAGCAGAGATGTAACCTTCAAGCTATTTCAATTTTTAAAAATATTTTTTCATGTGTTTGTACACATGAGTATGTAACTTAGATTTACATAGCCAAGTCAGGGTCACGAATATATAATTTAGTGAAAGCATTCTCTAGATCAGGTTTATAATCTGGAGTCCTTGTATACAGAATCACACACACACACACACACACACACACACACACACACACACACACACACGAGGCCCAATGCACAAAGATTCTGCAAGAATGGTCCTTTCTTCCCCTGGCTGTCGGAACTGCCTTTGCTCCGGCCAGAGCTGCCTTTTCGCTCTGGCCTGGAGCTGCTCTCTTCCTGGCCCTATTGCCCCCAGCTGTCCACCCCTGCAGGCCTGGTCACTCCCAACTGCCCTCTCCTGCAGGCCTGGTCACTCCCAACTGTCCTCCCCTGCAGGCCTGGTCACTCCCAACTGTCCTCCCCTGCAGGCCTGGTCACCTCCAACTGTTCTCCCCTGCAGGCCTGGTCACCTCCAACTGTCCTCCCCTGCAGGCCTGGTCAGTCCCAACTGTCCTCCCCTGCAGGCCTGGTCACTCCCAACTGCCCTCTCCTGCCAGCCATCTTGTGACGACATGGGGGTGCCCATCTTGTGATGATGTGGGGGTGGCCATCTTGTGATGCGAGGTTGTGATGGCCAATTTGTGTATTACCTCTATTGTATAGGATTATTGGGCTTGTTTAAACTTATATATGAATTAACAAATCACCTAGACTTTAAGTATTTTAAGTCTTAGGAATGGTATACTAAAACACTAGTAAGTGGCAAAGAAATCTTGAGTTTTTGAAAAGTTGGTGAATCCTTTCATTTGAGTATCCAGCTTGGCGCCTATCACACAGTGGTTGTACAAGTTGGTTTAGTGAATGAGTTAATAGAATTACAATCAGGTATGGTTGCAGGTTAAAAATCAAGTGCTTCTATGATGTGAGTTGTGCTTTATTTTGCAAAATCTGAGGGCATCGTATAGAGAACAGAGCAATTTATTGTGCTGCCATCAACAGAAAGGCAGAAGGGACAGAGATAATTATTTTGTGGAAAAGAATCTAGTTAGAAGTCAGAATATTGAGAGATATAATAGTTGAAGCTTTGGGTGGGGTGTACAGTTGTACAAGGAAAATAGTGCAAACTCCTGAGAAACATCCCTCAACAGAAAAGAATCTTAGCATACATTTTCTTATTAACTTGAAATCTCTCTATGCTTTCCATTGGCTCCTGTATTTTATTGTGACCTTAGTTCAAATAGTGTAAAGTAGAGATACAGTTAAATAAGGATTAGAGATGTCAAGATACTTATTTTTATAAATTATCAAATTGTTAAGTTTTAAAATATTTTTCAAATGGTTGAAAATTTTTGCCATTTTATAAAGGTACTTTTGCATTCTCTCTTTCAACTTGGAACTTGGTTGAATAGAACTTACATTGTATCTTAAGTACATATATTCTGGGAAATAGAAATATGACCAAAATTGGATTTGGACATAAACAATCTTTTGCCAACTAATCTACAAGAAAGCCTTTCTTACTTAATTATTATTAATAATAATAATTATTATTTTTTGGTGCATTTCTGCCTTCTCCCCTTAACAACATTGTGAAGTGTTTGAAGGAAATAAATTTTTATTTTAATGTTTTCTTACCATCTATGCTGGGACCTGGAATAAAACCACTCTCACTCTGTGCCTTTAGTTATTGTCCAGGTCATAGGTAATATTTATATTTAGGTGTTAAAAAACATATCCACTGTCACTTCATATTGCCTGGTTTAGGAAGAAAATTGTGATCCCAGCACAGTGCAAATGACCTTTTTCACAGCAATGGAGTTTTATAGGTGTTTTTCTTTTCTTTTTTTGTTGTTGAGAATATGGTACCAGTTTTGAGGGATTATTATGAATTAATTTTATATTTAGAAAATAGGTTATATTATTATTGAAGTGTGAGCATGCTCATTGAAGAAATTTTGGAAGTGTATGAGCATATAAGAAAAAAGGCACCTATAATCCTCCCTGCCTTCTCACAGAAAATGTGTTCGCTTTTAAAGTTTCACTTCCTGGCTTAAAGTAGCTAAACTTGAAGACCCATGGGGAACCCGGAATTAGTATCAAGGCTCAATAGTTGACATTTTCTGTTAATCCAGAATTTCCTGCTTTCCTGTTTTTCTGATTTAAAGAGGCTTTCTTGAATCTCTGAAATTAATATCTTTAAAAAATTAGTTGGTTGGTTAATGGAATTTGTATATGTGGATATTTCTCTTTTCCACCTCCAACGCAGCTAGAGAGCCTTCTGGTTCCTGAGTAGGGTCTGCTGGGGATTGAGAAAATGAAAGACAGACAGACACAGAGATATTATAGAAGGAAAAAGCTGGGGCCAGGTGGGACCACTGTCCTTTGACAGGGAAAGGACCGAGTCAATACAGTGTGTTTATTTTACACAGCAAAGAAACAGGAACTTTTACTAAAAGTCAAGACAAAGGAGATTATGTGCATTCTTGGGTGGGCCTGAGTCTTATTCATTCCTGGTGCTTGGCTGGATTTAAATAACAAAACCTACCCCCCTGGCACCTGGGCTGATGATCAAGCTGACAACACTCCTGCCTTTTGGCAAAGCATGTTTCCAGGATTTAGCTACTGGATTTAGCTGACAATAATTAAAGAAATGCTCATGTGCCTTCCCAGATGCTCTCTATAGTATATACGAGTCCTTTTTTCAGGTGGGGCTTTCTAACTATTAAACTTTGTTCTTTTGATGCTAGTTTAACTGATGAAGAGTCCCGGAAAAATTGGGAAGAGTTTGGAAATCCAGATGGACCTCAAGGTGGGGTAAATAATTATTAAAAAATACTGGGGATATGGTATATATTAGTAAATTATTAATTAGATAGAAAAAATATTTTGATTATCTTAGTTTACTAGTAGAAAAATCACATCCACAGGGAGTTAAATAGTTACGTAAAATGAGTTCCCTTTAATTCATTTTTAACTTTATTTTTCTTTCTAGAGAATAGTTTGGAAGATAAAACTTAGATTGATTTGATGAGAAGAGTAGTCACTGTTATTCATATTTCCAGTTAGTAGTTTATAAAAATTGAATGACAAAACATTTTCTTTTCTGACTTTATTTTCTCACATATTCACAGTGTTTACATAAACTCAGGAAATATAAAAGGATTTAGATTTTTTTAAAGAAGAAATTCATGTACTTTGCAATTTTTTTTCCTTTCTGGAAAGATTTAGTTTCAGATATAGACTATTTCCATTAATTTGTGTTATGAGAACACATATAATAAGATGATTTTTCTTTTTTTTCTTTTTTTTGGAAGGGGGGATAGGGATGAGAGTCAGAATTTTGGGATATAAATTCTGGAAATACAGAAATGTTCTTTCTATTTTAGCCACAAGCTTCGGAATAGCCCTGCCGGCTTGGATAGTTGACCAGAAAAATTCAATTTTGGTGAGTCTATTTAAATCACATTATAATATGTTTGACATAAAGAGAGCTATTACAATGAAAATACTGGTATGCTATTTTTAATTTAACTGTGTATTATGAAACTTTTTACGTGATGGAGAAAAGAATTCTTTCCCATGGTTAGGTTGCTGGTTTGGGGTAGTGTGTTCTAAATGTAGTCTTAATACAAAGTTGTGATTTTCTTTTGGAGGTAGTTTCAGATCAAGTCATACCCTTGGTCTGAGGAACTACTGCTTTTTAAGTTTTATTTACCATTAATCATTTTTTTTATATTCCAATTCAGTTGACATACAATATTATACTAGTTTCAAGTGCACACCCAGTGATTAGACATATAACTTAGACCTCATCCCTGTAAATCTCATACCCATCTGACATTAGAGTTATTAGGATACTGTTGACTATATTCCCTATGCTGTACTTTACATCCCCATGATTATTCTGTAACAACCCATTTGTACTTCTTAATCCCACCTTTTTCACCCATTCCGTCAACCCCTTCCTATCTGGCAGCCGTCAAAATATTCTCTGCATCTATGAGTCTATTTCTGTTCTGCTTGTTCTCTTATTTTGGTTTTTATATCCAGTTGTTGATAGGTATGCATTAATTGCCAATTTATTGTTCATATTTTTAATCTTTTTTATCCCTCCTTAAAGAAGACCCTTTAATATCTCTCTATATAAAAGGCTAATATACTAAATGTCCTCTGACTACTCGCTATGATGTGCACTGACCACCAGGAGGCAGCTGCTCAATGCAGGAGCTGTCGTGATATGCACTGGCCATTTACAGAGAAATGACACCTTAGACCTGGTGCCCACAAAGCAACACTTGGCTTCTACCAAGTGTGACACGGGCCTTGCCACCACGCTGGAGCTACACCCCACCAAATTGCAGTTGACGCTTCTGAGACCCCATGGTGCAAAATGCGACCCATAGCCCAGCCTGGCCCGGAATCAGTGGCTATCGACGCTATGGGTAATAATGTCACGTAGCAACATCTGGCTTCCTCTCCCTAGTGACTAGCCCCCTTAGAGTTTTTTCAGCCTAGGAACACGACTTGCTTTATAGCCAGGTGGAAACATTTTATACTTTAACCAAATGTCTGTGAAGCATTTTTCCAGGCCTTATCTCATTTGATCCTCACAGAAGATCTGGAGTAGGTAGATAGGAGACTCAGTGGAATCCTGTTTTCTTTTCATTAGCCAGAAAACAGATTTAGAAAGCTTAGAAACGACCCAACTGAAAAGAAGGAAGAAATGGTCCTACTTGTGCTGGGTTTGGAGGTGCCCAGGAGAGGCCATGCTCAAACCAAGGCCAGCTGCCACTAGTGCTAGGGACATGCTAAGACCAGATGCTGCTTGTTTGAGAGATTTTAGGAAAGTCTGTAGCAGGTGCCAAGAAAGGCAGTTTGTGTGGAAAAAACCACTGGAAATGGCTTGGGTGGGCCCTCAAGTTGGGTGGAATGGGGTCTCAGGCAATTATCAGAGTATGGTGAACAGTGTGAGCCAGGTGATGGAGATTCAGATATGACACTCACTTGCTGGCTCTTTGAGGTTGGAGGGGGTCTCAGAAAAAGAACAGTGGCTTCGACCAGCACATTTCTCTGTTCCTTCAGCTCTTGCTCTGATGCCAGGTAATTCAGTTCCTCCTTGTATGTTTCTGGTGCCTTTTGAGCTGCTGGAGCTCTGAGGGAGTGAGTCCAAATAAATACATGTGCAGGCCCTTTAAGAGGAACTGCATGGGACTCCAGTGGCCCTCATTAACACTCAACCACAATCCCCACTATTCTTTACAGACAGAAGTTATGGGGGACTTATCTTCCTGGCACTGGAAACCTGGGCTGGGGGACCTGGTATGGGGCTGAGATTCCTTGCTCCTTAGGGAGACCACCATAGCTGAGATAGTCCTGATTTTTGTCTAGCACACGTGGGTGTGAGACTAGCCCATTCCAAGTTTCTGCCCCTCTAACCAGTCTCTATGTAGCTTCTTTAAGTCCCTAGTTTTAGGACTTCGATTCAGCTAGATTTTGGGTGGTTCTGAATGATGGTTATTCTGTAGTTTAGTTGGAAGATTCAAATACTGCCTTTATCTATGCCGCTGTCTTAACTGAAGTCCTGGAACTACTCTCTTTTTTTTATGGTCTCTGTATTTATCCCAAGTTGTACTCAATGTTAAATTACCCTTCATTTCACATTTACCCAGGTTAAATTAATTATAATATATGCTACATTAGTGGTATATATTCCATATGGTACTTCAGGAGGTAGTAGGATATCAGACTTCAATCCCATAGATGCTGAACTCTAAAATGTCAGGAATTCCTATTGTTTAGAAACAGATGATTCTCTGCTTTCTTGAAAATAATTATCTAGGAGCTATCTTTGAAGTAATAAAAACCAAAATCCATGTAGTCTGTAATTTGTTTTGAAATGGCTATTTAATGTTATTTTATGGCAGATTAACATTTGTTTTTTTCAATGACATATAATTGCTGTATGTAAGTATGCTTATCATGCCTAGGCTTATTCTGGGAATACTAAAGAAGAGAAACATAGTTAGCTACGAGATTAGGGATCAAGCAGTAGGAGAAAAATGTGAGGCCAATAGACTTCAAACAGAACATTATGAAGTTACTCCTCAATATATAGACAAAAGAACCAAACAGGGTTCTATTATTATTTATTTCCAAGGCATTAATCTGTTGTCAAGTTGTGGATATATAAGTTCTTGACTGGAAGGGAAATATAATTTCTGTTTTGCTTGTGTTTTCTATAGACAAATGAAAAGGTAATTTATTGTAGTGGCAAAGAACAGTTTCTGTAGGTGGATTGCCAATCCTGGTTCCCACCTACTTACTAGCTGTGTGACCTAGAACAAGCTATGAAACATATATATGCTGCAGGTTATCAGCAAAAGGAAAATAATATGGTACCTTCCTCAGAGGACTTGAAAATAAGAATTAAACAAAATAATTCACGAGTAGTGCTTTTAATAGTGCCTCCTCCATGTAAATCTCAAAATAAGTATTCATGGATATTGTTATAATTTGCCTGATGAAGACCATAATTTTTTTCTCTTTAATTCTAGGTTTTACTTGTATATGGATTGGCATTCATGGTCATCCTTCCAGTTGTTGTGGTAAGTTCAAGCTCTTTTTATGAACATATTTTTGGAAAGGGAATTGTTGGTATGCTTTGGAGTCTCCTGATTAGATTGTAATTTGTATTAGAATATAATCCATTGATCCTTGAATTCTAAGAATCTTATATTCAACTATATTTTAAAGTTTTTCTGAAGGTGACATCACTTGAGTATGCTAAAGTATATTTTCTCCCAATTCAAAAGTTAGACACAACTGATAATACTACAGTTGTATTTATAGAGTTTAAAATGAGTCTTCCTTCACTACCTCCCTCCATTTCTCTGTTAGAGATAATCGCTACTTAAGTTTGGTGACTTCCGTTTTAAATACAGTGTCAGGCAAAAGTAGGTTTACAGTACATGAAACATAATTTATTCTTGTTTTATTTATTAATTTATTATTTTCCATACAAACATCTGTAAATCTACTTTTGCCCCAGCCTGTATTTTTCTGTACACACATTACAAAATATCTTATGTATTGTTCTATGACATTTTTGCTTTAAATATTAGGGGCATGAGATTTAGAGCGATCTCATTTTTAAAATGGCTACATATGGTACTTTGATATGTAGATACCATAAAGTTTATAATTTTACTGTTTATTACTTTTATGACTGGTGTTCTATTTGCTCTTATAGTTCTTGAGTCCTATGTGAGGCTAATAATTATCCTGTGTGCCTTCTTCATAGGATTTTTGTGTGAGATCAAATTGTCTATAATAATGTGAATTAAAATAGTAAAATTGCTTCTTCATTTATTTATTAAATATTTATTAAAGACATGCTATGTATCAGGAACCAGCTTATATTTTATAGTAGTGGGTTGGTTTATTTCTATTTTGTCTTCAAACAATTCCGAGCTAAAACTTAAATGTCTTAATGGTATAATTGTAGTGAGGTAGTCATCAGGCAGTATAAATATTTGCAAAATAACTAATTTAAAATATGTATTGAGGGTATTCTAAAGTTGAGGAGTTTTTATTGATTTATGAGCATTTAGAAAATTTGACCACAAACATATTCCTTATTAAACTAGCATTCATTATAATTTTTGTGCTTTATTTCTTATTTAATTTTATTTGTGTTTTAGGGATCTTGGTGGTATCGCTCAATACGCTATAGTGGAGACCAGATTCTAATACGCACCACACAGATTTATACATATTTTGTTTATAAAACCCGAAATATGGATATGAAACGTAAGTAAATTTAAGTAACCGTGACAGTAGATTATTTTCTGAGTCACTTATGTGGAGTTGATATACATTCTACTGGAGAAATTCTATTTTATGTTTATAGATATTTAGTTCGTGTACCTAAAGCTGGAGGAAATGTTAACATCTTACCACATTTCTTGACCTGTTGCTATTATTTCCATCTATTCTGCTATATAAGTATTTTTTTTCTCTCAGAAATTTTATGTTAAAGCTTCTTGTGGACTAATTTTGTAATAATACCAGCTAACATTTTTTGAGTATTTGTAAAGTGCCAGGCATGTATTAACTCATTTAGTATTTTCTGTGTCCCTGTAAGTGTGTGCTGTTTCTAAGCACATTTTATAGATGAGGAAACTGAACCCAAGGATGAACAGTAGGTGACGGTCAGCATCGAACCCAGGATTAATATTATCCTGTATTAATTATAATAAAATAAGTAGAGATCTTGGGTGTGTTGAAAGAAAACTGTCAGGATAGTTCATTCTCAGAGTCTTACTTTAAAATCCTATATAAAAAAGAGGTAATATGCAAATTGACCTCCACCCCCCACGAGGCCACCCCCACGTGGTTAAAGATAGTCACACAAGATGGTTGGCAGGGGAGGGCAGTTAGGAGTGACCAGACCAGCAAGGGAGGGCAGTTGGGGGCAACCAGGCCTGCAGAGAAGGGCAGTTGGGAGTGACCAGGTTGGCAGAGGAGGGCATTTGGGGGTGACGAGGCCAGCAGGGGAGGGCAGTTAGGGGCAACCAGATCAGCAGGGGAGGGCAATTGGGGGCAACCGGGCCTGTAGGGGAGGACAGTTAGGGGTGACCAGTCTGGCAGGAGAGGGCAGTTGGAGGCGACTGGGTCAGCAGAGGACAGCAGTTGGGGGCAACCTGGCTGGCAGGGGAGGGCAGTTGGGGGTTACTGGGCTGGCAGGGGAAGGCAGTCAGGGGCAATCAGTCTGGTAGGGGAGCATTTAGGCGTCGATCAGCCTGGCAGGGGAGTGGTTAGGGGGTGATCAGGCTGGCAGGCCGGTGAGCGGTTGGGAGCCAGCAGTCCTGGATTGTGAGAGGATTGCCCAACTGCTGGTTTAGGGATTGGGCCTAAACCAGCAGTTAGACATCCCCCAAGGGGTCCCAGGTTGAAGAGGGTGCAGGCTGGGCTGAGAGACACCCCCCAATGCACGAATTTTGTGCACTGGGCCTCTAGTCCTATATAATAATCCTATATAATAAAAGGCTAATATGCAAATTGACTGAACTGCAGAACAACTGGTTGCCGTGATGTGCACTGTCCACCAGGGGGTAGATGCTCAATGCAGGAGCTACCCTTTGGTCGTCAGTGCACAGGGGGAGTTCTGCTCAGCCAGAAGCTGGGCTAATGGCTGGTGAGTGCAGCATCAGCAGTGGTGGGAACTTCTTCCGCCTCTAAGGCAGCACTAAGGATGTCCGACTGATGGCTTAGCCTGCTCCCCACAGGACATCCCCCGAGAGCTCCCGTATTGCAAGAGGACGTAGGCCGGGCTGAGGGGACCCCTCCCCCCCTTGACTGCATGAATTTCATGCACCTGGCCTCTAGTTTCTTATTTAAAAAAAAAAAAAATACTATTCTAAATACTTTCTGTGATCTCATAAAATTAACATTGTAAATTTTATCCCTGCAATATGTAGTGGTGTCTTTCACAATCACTGCTATGCAGAAGTCATAGGCATCCTGCTTCCCCTTCTTAAAAAGGAAAAAGGAGATAAAAGTTTTAAATTGTGCCTCACTGGAAAATGCATTTTTTGTTTGTTAGTTTGTTTCAAATCTAAGTGGACTTTTCTATATTTTGGGTTTGTCATTTTACTGTCTTTTCTTGATAATCAGAAAGAGACTCCGCATGTGACTGTGTGATTATATTCCTGAATCCAATCACAGAGCAGAACTTTTATTTCTGAGCAGAGCAGATGAACATTACTCTCTGTTATGCACACATGCCACTCTTCCTTATGCTGGCTTGAAATATTAATATAGAACTATTTCCTTATGTTGATGTTTCATGTTTTTATCTGTTTTAATTTGTTTTTGCATCAGTGATCTTATTTCTGTTTCATTTCTGAGGGTGGTATTTAAACTTATACAATTATTATAGTTCTGTTAAAAGCATTATTTAGCCGAAGCTGGCTCAGTGGTAGAGCGTCAGTCTGCGGACTGAAAGGTCCCCGGTTCGATTCCGCTCAAGGGCATGTACATTGGTTGCGGGCACATCCCCGGTAGAGGGTGTGCAAGAGGCAGCTGGTCGATGTTTCTCTCTCATCGACGTTTCTAGCTCTCTATCTCTCTCCCTTCCTTCTCTCCGTGAAATATCAATAAAATATATTTTTTAAAAAACATTATTTAGCTGGTGGGTTTGGTTATATATCTTTTGTGACTTTATCATTGGCACCGTTTATATGGCCATCTTAGGAACAATTTCATGAAAACATTTGGAGTTAGTAAGGGTAATAGTTCACATATTACTGTGTTTATTTTTGTTTCAGGCTCATGTGAAGAAGCTAGGGTCCATAGAGGTGAAAACTATTATTTAGGTCATTTAGCTAAGAAGCGGAAACGCTAGGGTTTTATGCTTAATCTCTGTGTTGTACTGCTTTTTATGTACTCGTTGCATGTGTTTTCTGCTGTAAGGTGAGATTGATAACTCTAGTGCCAGTCATGAAAGAGCTTGTATATAATGCTAACAAGAATAATGCTAATATACGGATAGGGCAGAAGTAGGTTTATAGTTGTTTGCATGGGAAATACAATAATTAATAATAATAAAAGAATAAATAAACTCTGTGTTCCACCTACTCACAACAGTAAACCTACTTTTGCCCCACCCTGTATGAGGTTGCAAATCATGTGTATTTCAAGGAACGCTATTACCCCAAACCCTCCAGAGTTCTGTAATAGAAGTTTCTGTAAATGACAGTATATTTTAGTTTATTAAAGACTCTGAGAAGTTATAAAGCAAAGAAACCTATAACTTTTTTTAACTAATTTCTCAGCCATATTTTTTTTAACCATAGAGCCCCCTTTTTTCACATAATGTTCATTAATATCACATGGAATATTTAATGCTCTATAGAAAATTTCTGTGGGAACACATGTTTAGGTATAGCAACAGGTATTATTTGAAGTGATTTTAATGCAGCTAGTTGCTTTGGGGCCCTTGATTTATATTTTTATTCACTTGCTATAGGTAACATTGTGCATTTTTTAAAAAGTGAGGCTATTTTATGGAATAAATTAATACTTGTTAGTAGTGGAGTTCACATGGCTTTTAAGCATTGTTTGTGGTTGGAAAATTGCCTCACCCTAGGATTAATGAGGTATCATAGCAGGGAAATTAATAGGTGAGCAAATATGTGTACTTACCTTCATATTTCTTTTATTTCCTTAGGTCTTATCATGGTTTTGGCTGGAGCCTCTGAATTTGATCCTCAGTATAATAAAGATGCCACAAGCAGACCAACAGATAATATTCTAATACCTCAGGTTAGTCCTATCGCCTACATCCCCGATAGGCGATATTTATTTACATATTAAAGTTAATGATTTTTTTAGATGTGTATTTTTGAATAATTATTTTATTTACTCTAGCTAATCAGAGAAATTGGCAGCATTAATTTAAAGAAGAATGAACCTCCACTTACATGTCCATATAGCCTGAAGGCGAGAGTTCTTTTACTATGTCATCTTGCTAGAATGAAAATTCCTGAGACCCTTGAAGAAGGTATTTGTGATTCTACTCTCTGCAGGGTTTTAGTGATATGTGGATTTAATTAGACTTCATGGTGTACTGTTTTAGTCACTGTTATTTTTTTTGCTCAAATAATTGTTCAAGGGCTTTTTAAAAAGAAATCTATATGCTGCATAATAACTATAAATACTTTGAAGGTTTAAGTAAGTCAGATGTTATAGCAAAATTTAAAATGTGAAAGTGAGAGAATACTCTTATGAGAAATGTTTAGTCAGTTGCAGACTATGTAATAATTCCCAATGACTTAAAAAAAAAGATTTTGTAAGGTTTTGCAGGGAGGGGGTGAGAAAAACATTGATTTCACAACAAATATCTCAACTCCATACTCCACCCACCACTCTTTAAGCATGGTTACCAAAAAAATGTTTAATCTCTAGTTAAAACTTCATAAGTACTTGAAGCCATCTATTCTATTTAAAAGAAAAGCAGTAGATTGAAACAGTGGTGTTTCCAGGGCTGTCATGGACTAGAGTGTCATTTCTTCTTTACTTGTATTATTTCAGTTGAAGTTTTAAAAGAAAGTTATTCTCAGGGAATATATGTTCTTTCTGAATGACTCTTTTAAGCCAGTAATGCAATCAAATGCCTCTGAAAACAAGGCCAGTTGATGTTCAGTGATTGGTGATAGGATAGTTTGCTTATGATGGAATGATGGAGCACTATTTAAGCATTGTAATTAGAGTTGCAATTTAAATAATAATTGTGTTTCTAATGTTTTGTACAGATATGAAACCATCTTCATTTTTACAAAACACCTAAGAAGTAGGGAACAAAAGTTTTTTATGTTGAGTATTAATCCAATGGATGATCTTAATGGTTAACTCTTATATGCAGTACTAGAAGTCTAGTGCACGATAGTCATGCATGGATAGGATCCCTAGGCCTAACCATTGATTAGGGCCAATATGTGGGGTGACCAGCGGGATGATGGGGGGAGGAGACACACCTTGGCTGCCCTGATGCTGCCTGCTCATTGGCTCCGCCCCCCACTGATGCTGCCAATCATCTTCTGCAGGGTGACTGACTGGGTGATTGGGAGGGCCGCTGCTAGCACCCGCCTTGGCTGGCCTGGCCCCACCCACTTACTGGCCCCACCCCCTGCAGCTGTTGCAGGTAGAGGCCTCTGGGCTGGAGGTAGCTCCTGTGTTGAGCATCTACTCCCTGATGGTCAGTGCCTATCATAGCCACTGGTCATTCCACTGTTCAGTCTGTTTGCATATTAGGTTTATATAGGATAAATGAAAGTGTCCCCCCCTCATTCCTCCTCTTTCTCTCTGCATTTATTCTCAATCTTAGCCTTTGGATTTATCCATAATTCTACATATAGAAACTTTAATGCACAAGAAGAAAATTCTTAAAGTTCTTAAATATAGTAAGATTAAGCTAAAGATTAACTGGGTAGGGAGTTGATTGATAAAGACTAATACCATAATATTAAAATTTGGCCTTTGAAACTTCTAATCTGAGTTAGGATTTTCTGACTGATGGTGATAATATATTGAGTAGGTACTATTGGGTTCAACCTGTAAAATTCTGAAGTTATGGGAAATATTCATAGAATACCTTAAATTTGTATTAGTCTTGGACTATAGGTGATAAAGATGTTTTAATTATAAAGATAGAATGATTTTTCAGGTTTTTTATTGTTTTGCAGATCAGCAATTTATGCTGAAAAAATGCCCTGCTCTACTTCAAGAAATGGTTAATGTAATCTGCCAACTAATAATAATGGCCCGAAGCCGTGAAGGTGAGGAGTAGATGTAATTAATTATGTCGTACTTTTTCTTGCAAGCATATAGTTTTATGCTTTCTTTATAGTTTTCTTGCAAGCATATAGTCTTGCAAGCTTCATAGTTTTAAGATTTTATGGTTACTTACCGTAATTCTGTCTATAAATTAAATTAACTTTCCCACATTTATTTATGGCTTTTCTTATTTTTTCCCCTTATATTTTCCACTATGTAAAGTGTTTATCACAACTTTGTTTTAATTTGAAATTTTTTTATGTTTTATTGTTATTGTTTGCAAAGTTTTAAAATATCCTTCTGATTTTGTTAAAGTTAGGTTATTTGGTATTTTAACAATGAGTTTAAAATAATTCTTTAAGTGATGTAATGATGATTTATCTGATATGTACTGCTTTTTTGCATGAAGGGAAAAAGAATGAGGGAGTTTGTGGTCAGAAATGGGAAGGGAGAGAGAGAAGCTTTAAAAAAGGAGGTAGTGGTTATTATTTGTTATTATGGATGTCAGTTATTGGCATGGGTGTTAGTATGTTTTTGATACTGATTAATTTGCTGTATTTGGAGGTAATGTAAAGGATTTTTCTATTAAATCAATGGTTGTTGCTAGATAATATGCATATGACACATGTGTGTGTGCGTGTGTGTGTGTGTGTGTGTGTGTGTGTGTGTGTGTGTAGTATTTTATCCAATAACTTTTAAAGGAAAATCAATACTGTTTCTAAAATTTGAGGGGTTAGAGATAGTCTCGAGAATCTTGTGTTTGTCATAAATTGTATACTCCTGAACATGTAAAAAGTCCAGCTCTGTCTTTTCTTTTCCTCCTATTCTTTCTAAGAAAGGGAGTTTCGTGCTCCAACTTTGGCATCCCTAGAAAACTGCATGAAGCTTTCTCAGATGGCTGTGCAAGGCCTTCAGCAGTTTAAGTCTCCCCTTCTGCAGCTCCCTCACATTGAAGAGGACAATCTTAGAAGGGTTTCTAATCATAAAAAGGTAATTCTTTGGTACTTTAAAACACCAGTTTTAAGCAGTTCGTCATGTCACTTAAAGATAACATGAATGAAAGTTTTCTAGAAATTGTTACTATGAATTTCTTAGATTTAAAATATCTTAAACATTCTAAAACTCCCTTCAGTGGTTCTGTTAGGTAGCTGTTTAATATCTTTTTTTAAAAAAATTCTTTATTGATTAAGGTGTTACATGTGTTCTTATTCCCCCAGCTGTTTAATATCTTACTACCGTAAGTGATTTTAGTAAGGGATGGTGCATTTTTAGCAGTTAACACATTGTTCTTTATATTACATTACTAAAAATAAATGCACTAAGTAAAAATGCACTGTATACTTTCCAATAATTTTATTTGTGGGTTAAATGTTGACAGTGGTTTATTAGTTTAGTATGAACAGAGTAAATATTAAAAAATAAGTAGATCAAATGAAGATAATGCTTTAAAAACATGTACATATGTATATATTTTAAATATATTTCTTTATTGATTTCAGAGAGGAAGAAATAGGGAGAGAGAGATAGAAACATCAGTGATGAGAGAGAAGCATTGATTGGCTGCCTGCTGGGGATTGAGCCCGCAACCTGGGCATGTGCCCTGACCATGAACTCCTGGTTCATAAGTCAACGCTAAATCATTGAGACACACTAGCTGGGCAAGATAATTCTTATTTAGAAAACATGGTTTATAGTAAAGACATGATAATGAATCTTAAGATAAATGAAAAACTTGAGGAAACACAAGAAAATACTGAACAAAATCTTAATTTTGTACATTTTAAACATTACTTTGCATTAGACAAAGTAGGCAGAAGATGGATATTAGATTGATAGTATAGTAAGGTAAAACTAATATATATTAGAAATTTGCGTTAGAGTTCTCCTTTCAACTAATTGAGTTATTATGCTTATAAATTCGATCACATTTTAGATTTCAATTGAAGATTTCAGAATCCAAAAGCAGGCATTTCACATACCTCATGATCTAATCCATGTCTGTGAAAATAAAAATTAGTAACTAACACCAAATACTTGAAAATTAAAGAACACTCTCCTATGTATTCATTTAGATAAGATAGATATTACTGTAATAACAGATAACTATATTTAGGCAATAACAAAAATGAGAATATTCCATAGGATACAGCTGTGCTTGGAGATAAAGTCATATTCTTAGCATTAAAATTGAATAAAGGTCAAAAAACAGCATATAAAATGACAGTAGTTCTTGTGGGTCAAGATTCTATATGAATACTAATTTTCCCCTAAAATTTATTTTTTCTAATTAAAAAATATAATCCTGTATTAACTCTGTAATAAATAAATCCTAAATTTAAATTTCCTTGGAGCAAAAGGCCATGAAATGCTATAAAGCTGTTATTTGCTGCTTTGAAGTATATATAATCTTAACATTTTTCTACAAGTTCTTGGATTGTGTTTTAGTTAACATGCTAATAGTTTTCTTTTATGAAAAGTTTTATGACTTTAGGATTTTCTTTTTTTAAAATTCAGTACAAAATTAAGACTATTCAGGATTTGGTGAGTTTAAAAGAAACAGATCGTCACTATCTATTGCACTTCCTAGAAGATGAAAAATATGAGGAGGTTATGGCTGTCCTTGGGAGTTTTCCACATATAACTATGGATATAAAATCACAGGGTAAGTGGGAGGGTTATTTGTGGAATATTGCTTTCCTTTTGTTAGAATGGCTCTTGTTTGCTTGACTCAGGATTCTCCAAATACTTCATTTAATAATGTAACTTGTAATTAGATTTACCGAGTCTAATTTCCTTTTTACCTGTCAGATTTACTATGTTGGAAAATGATGTACACTTAATAGTTTTGAGAACACTAATAGAGTCCTGGTTTTATTATCCTTGTAATGGAAATGAAAGAGTTCCAGATGTAATGAAAGAAACTTAAAATGTATCCATTAGTGTGAAAAACATAGCTGCTTAGTTCAAAAATTAATTTAAAAACCCCAACTTATTTATGTTCATGAAGCCTTGAAAATTACCATATTCTGTGCCACATTGCACGTGTTTTTTTTGACTTAAACTCTGTGTTTTCTTGAAGTGAAAAAATAGAGATTGTTTATTTCACCTACCTAATTGCCCTGTTTGTTCCCATTTCAATAGCTGAATAATATAGTGGAATTACCAAGTTAGGGGTTATCTGCTCCATTCCTTCATTATGGCATTGTTCTGAGCTTTGACATTTAGTAAGCTACTGTTGTGGTAACAGTCTTTTGGGGCCAAGAATACAAACAGCAGTAGGAATGGTTTCTGCCTTTAAAGGGCTTTTAGTCTAACTAGAGGCCCAGTGCACAAAATTGGTGCATTGGTGGAATCTCTAGCGGCTGCTGGCTGCCAGCCAGGTCCTCCCTCCCTCCCTTCCCCTGGCCGGCCCTGGGACAAACTCCTGGTCAAGGGGACAGTTTGCATACTATGCTTTCATTATATAGGATTGGGGGAAATAGGTCATAAACATAGAATTAAAATAAGGAATCATGGGCTAAAATAAGGAATCATGGGGTAAGTATTAAGTGAATGGCACAGACTTAGTATATTTATCCTCTCAACAAATATTGAATAACACTACTACTGGGTGCTGGGGAAGCAGTGGTAATACAAAGCCTCTGCCTTACTGAGTTTACATTCTAATTGGAATTGAGGTAGAAGGCTCTCAAAGATTAGGTGTTTGAGAAAGGGAGCAAAATTGCAATCTGGATTCAATTTGGCTGGCGTATAGGATACATATAGTGAAGACTGGTGCTGCTTTGATTGGGAGGGGGTGTTAGGATTACCTTGTGGGCCCATGAGTTTTCAAACATTAAAAATATAAAGCTTCATTCAGGACCATAATAATTTTTTTTAAATATATTTTTTATTGATTTTATACAGAGAGGAAGGGAGAGAGATAGAGTTAGAAACATCGATGAGAGAGTCTTCGATCAGCTGCCTCCTGCACACCCCCTACTGGGGATATGCCCGAACCAAGGTACATGCCCCTGACCGGAATGGAACCCGGGACCCCTCAGTCCCCAAGCCGACGCTCTATCCATTGAGCCAAACCAGTCCCGGCCAGGACCATAATAATTTAATTAGAAGCTATTAATCTAGTTTGAGACTGAAGAGATACTCTTTGATAATAATCAAGTGTTATAAAAAGTACATGCTGCTTTAAAAAATGAATGTTGGAGAGATTTTTTTTTTTTTTTCATCTTCACTCAAGGATATTTTCCCATTGATTTTTAGAGAGATGAAAGGGAGGAAAGAATGGGAGAGAGAGAAACATTGATGTGAGAGAGACACATTGATTGGTTGTCTCCCACATCCACCCTAACCCAGGCTGGGGATCGAGCCTGCAGCTGAGGTACAGGCCCTCAACCAGGAATCAAACCCATGACTCTGTTCCTTAGGCCAATGGGAGAGATTCTTTATTAGATGTGTAAGGTACGATTATTCTGTCTCACTGCAAAACATTACGCTGTGATTCCAGTTAGGGCACATGCCGGGTTGTGGGCTCGATCCCTAGTATGGGTTGGGCAGGAGGGAGCTGCTGGATGTTTCTCTCTCATCATTGATGTTTCTATCCGTCCCTCCCTCCCTTCCTCTCCCTTCTTCTCTGAAATAAAAAAATAAATAAAAGAAATTAATTGCAAAATGTATTTTTATATATCTTGAAGTTCTTCCCTTAAAAATTAATCCTTTTTATGTGGTTTATTATACTAGTTTTAATTTATCCTGATAGGCAGGCACTGATCATACTGATAAAATCTTGTGACTACAAGGTTTGCACAATTCAATAGAGTAACATAACTATTTTTAATATTACTGTGAGAGAAAGCTATGGTATGGTAGTCCTCACATTATACTTTGTTTTAAAAAACCTGGCTTTGAAATGTAGCAGTGCCAGTTTAGGCATTATGTGACCTTAGGCATTTTAATTTATTTCTGAACCTCAGTTTCTTTAAAGTAGAAGTAACAATAATCCATCATAGAGCTAGTTCAAGGATTTAAATGAGCACATTGTTGAAGGCATCTATTGGGGAGCCTTATACAAAGTAGACAGTCAAATTATTTTTTTTGAGTAAGTTTAAGATATATTTGAAATACTGAAGTATCAACTTCATTTGGGTAGGTATTTAAGTTCTGTTGTTTATATTGACATAAAGCTTAATTTTCATTTTTTACTCAAATTTTTCCTTTCATCTTACAGTATTGGATGATGAAGACAGCAACAACATCACAGTAGGATCCCTAGTTACAGTGTTGGTTAAATTGACAAGACAAACAATGGCAGTAAGTAATCTATTTGTATTTTTATGCTTTAAGTTATATCACCCTAATAAATATAATAAAAAGAAAAAAAAAGTTATGTGTTAATGTTTTTCCATTTAATCTCTCTTTTTAAGTTATATATTCTCAAATCAAAACTATTGAGTAGCAAAATCTAACTTTGCAAATTATGTTAGCTGTTTTGAAATATTAAATTAACTCTTGGTTTTTCATATTAGTTTTCACACAAGAAAACTTTGGAAAATAAATTAATTATTCATGTGATGGTTTAATTCCTTATAAAACATAATAATGGTAATATGGGTATAATTCTTGAATTTTTCAGTGCTATACAGAGTTTACATTGATTATTGTTGAGAATTTTGTCACCTATTCTTTTTCAGCCCATTCTTTAGAGCAGTGGTCGCCAACCTTTTGGACCACTACTGGTCCGCCAACTACTGGTTGGCGACCGCTGCTCCAAAGGTTTTCTTAAACCAGCAATCGCCAACCTTTTGGAACTCACAGACCACCAGTGGTCCACGGACCACCAGTTGGGGACTGCTGCTTTAGAGAATTTATTCTCTTTATATTTTTAAAATAAATTTTTTTAAAAATTATAATGAAAATACTCGATTTTACATTTGAAAAAGTCATGCTGTCTGAGAAAAAGTTCAGGCACTGCAAGAAGTATAGGAAGAAGTGAATATTACCTAAAATCCTACCCATCTGATAGTATCGGTTTTGAAGCTCACCCTTTTAGGTATCCTAATGCATGAGTATCCATAAAATTAAAGTATTTTTTATAATCCTCAACCCGAGGTTATTTTTCCCATTGATTTTGAGAGAGAGAGAGAGAGAGAGAGAGAGAGAGAGAGAGAGAGAGAGAGAGAGAGAGAGAAACAACAATGTGAGAGAGACACATCTATTGGTTGCCTCCTACAGGCACCCTGATCGGGGCCAGAGATTAAACCTGCAACCCAGGTACATGCCTTTGACTGGGAATTTAATCTACTACCCCTTGGTGTGCAGGCTGATGTTCCAACCTTTGAGAAACACTGGCCAGGGCTTAAGTGATATTTTATCACAGATCCCTTCTCTCACTCACTTTCCTCAGGAAACCCCTTGTTTGTCTCCAATGACCAGAATTCAGTCTTGTGCCTATCCTTTCATATGCTTCTTTATTGGTTGTATTTGTATTTACTATTTGGACCTTTACAGTGCGAGCGTGCGTATTTCAAAAAATACACTGGTATTTTTTTCTCATTCTTTTTTATTAAATCTGATCATATATGTTTCCTGCATCTTGTTTTTCTCATTTTCTATTACATTTATGGTACTACCCAAGTTATAACTTTAGTTGTAATTTGTTTTTAATAGACTATAGTATTTCAACTCAGTTTATTCAACTAGTGGTAGATTTTAGCCTGTTTTGCTCTGGGGTCTGTCTGCATCTGTAGGAAACATTTGCTGCATTTAAACTGTCTAAAACCTCTGGTAGGAGAATCATTTTTTGTAGTGGATATATCAAATCAAAATATGTGGATTTTATAAGTAGCAAGTGGTAAGGAAGTATTTGTGTTATATATTCTTGATAAGAGGTGCCTTCTGGGAGAAGAGGAAACTAAGACAGTGGTCAGGATTGGTTTTAGAATCCAAATTTATACTACCTACATACTTTGGAATTCCAAGCTTGAGATAAACAAAATATTGGCCTTGGAATATTTGGTAGAAGGAAAAACAAGTCTGCCTTGGAGGAAGGAAAGTCTCAAGTATTTATTGTTCAGTTTCTGTGTGAACTGTACCTCAGAGTAATTATTAGAACCCAGTAGTAGGTGAAGAAATGAAATTAACCAGAGATTGTTCAGTTTTTGTGTGAACTGTACCTCAGAGTTATTATTAGAACCCAGTAGTAAGTGAAGAAATGAAATTAACCAGAGATGATAGAATTAGATAAGAAGTTGGCAAATCTTTCTGTAAAGGTCCCGTTAGTAAATATTTTTGGTGATATAGCCTATGTAGTCTCTGTAGCAACTACTGAACTCACAAATGGGCATTGATTGTGTTCCAATAAACTTTGTTTAAAAAGCAGACCCCTAAATAAGGCAAACCATTTGAGCCTAACAATTGTCATTGTTTTTAATTGTTAGCTTTAATAATTTCAAGGACTTATTAAATACGACCCACATCACTTGTCATCTCATGTAGATTCTTACTGGAATTTAAATGCTAAATGTACTGATTCTAAATAGATTGTATGGTGGATGGATGTCTTTAGGGTATGTGGATTTTCTTGGTTATGTAACCAATGAGCAGTATCACTGACAATAAAGAATAAATTAATATCACTAGTAGTCTCATAAAGTTTTCATGTTGGAAAATAATGTAATATATTAAAATTTTCATAACATTAAAACAGTCATGTCTGATTACTATTAGAATAAAAATGAAAATTTAAACTAAAATATTTTGAGTTTATAATGAGTTTACCTATCTTAAGTCATTGCATTTATAAATTTCAGTACAGTGTACTTTTAAAAAAATATTCAAGTCAGATGTGTGAGATATTTCAGAAGGTAATGTCTGAAGTATTATTTAGTGATTGCTAATTTTCCTGTTCTCCCCTCTGCTCCAGTGTCACCAATTTAAAAACTTACTGGTAATATATTTTGAAAGATTGTTTTGCTTATCTGAAAGATGAATGCAGGTTGACATATTATATTTTTCTTCTCGCTACCTCTAGGAAGTATTTGAAAAGGAGCAGTCCATCTGTGCTGCAGAGGAACAGCCAGCAGAAGATGTGGTAAAAACTTGAGGGTTTTTTTTTTTCCTGTTGATAGAAATGTTTTATTTAGTTTTCTGACTGATTTACATTTCTTTGGAAGAATCATTCAGTTTATGAAAACTTTACTTTAGCCATTCTCATTTAAAAATTACCCTGACTCCCAAATGAAGCTATTGCTATAATTTCTGAGTGTGTATGTGATTTACAGCAAGGCGATCCTAACAAGAACAGGACAAAAGGAGGATGGCAACAGAAGAGTAAAGGACCCAAGAAAACCACTAAATCAAAAAAAAAGAAAACTGTAAAAAAAAAACCTATACCTATTCCTCCCTTATCACAATCAAAGCAACAGAAACAGAAGCAAGCGAATGGAGTCATTGGGAATGTAAGTTTATTATTGTTATTATATAATTATTGAGGTGTAATATACACAAATTTTACATATGTATGTATTCCTGATACCCACATCAAGATATAAAACCTTAACCACCATCCTAGAAAACTCCCTTGTGCCCATTTTCAATCAATGACCCTTCCACCCACCTCCATTCTCTCCTCCCTATTCTATTACTATGGATCAGTTTTGCCTATACTTAAACTTCATGTAAGTGGACTTATGTTTGGTTGCTTTGATTTAACATCATATTTGTGATGCTCATTTGTACTTGTGTAGCAGTAGTTCATTCATGTATGTATCTGTGTGTTATTCCATTGCATGGAATTACTACAATTTATCTCTTCTGTAGTTGGTAGACATATGGATTGTTTCTGTATTTGCTTATTATGAATAAAGGTGGTATGCTTATTCTTATACATTTCATTTTTGTGGACATTCATATGTACTTAGTGGTGGAATTATTGGACCATAAAATTGGTGTGTGTTTTAACTCGTTGAAAGAACCTGTCTTCCAAAGCTGTACCATTTTATGCTACTGCCAGCAAATAATGAGTCCAGTTTTTTCACATCCTCACCAGTATTTGGCTTTACCAGTCTTTTAAAAAAATTTAACCACCTGTGGTAGATCTGTTGAGGTATCCCTGTGTGCGGTTTTTATTTGTATTTATTTGATTAATGATAATGAGCACCTGTTCATATGTTTACTGGTCATTTTGGATATCCTTTTTCTAGTGGGTTGTTTGTCTTATTATGGATTTGTAGGATTCCTTTCTATATTCTAGATATTAGTCATTTTTTACTCTTCATGGTAGCTTAAGAACTAATGAGGTCTATTTTCATCAATCTTTTAGGGATAGTTCTTTTGTGTCCTGTTTAAGACATTTCTGCCTATCCAAAGAATATGGAAATATCTTTTTCTCTTTTAAAAGTATTATTATTTTACTTGTTATATTTAGCACTGGGATACATCTTAATTTTTTGTGAATAGAGTGAGATAGGGATTATGGACGAGTTATTCTAGCACCATCTGTTAAAAAGATCATCCTTTCTTGTCTGAATTGCAATGGTGATTTGTTGTAGAACAAAGGGTTGTAACAGTGTATGTGCAGATCTATTTATGGACTCTCAAATAATTTCATTAGTTATTTGTCTATTCTTGTGCCAGTGCCACACTATCAATTAATTAATTAATTATGGTGGCTTTATGTTAAGTCTTGAAATATGGTATTGTAAGTCCTCAAACTCTTCACTTCTTAAAATGTTTTTGATATTTAGATCCTTTACATTTTAAGCTGAAACAATTTTCACACACATACACACACAAAGCTGCTGGGATTTAGACTGGTATTGCATTGAACCTATGATTTAATATGTGGAGAATTCACTTGTTAACAATATTGAATTTTTTTATTCATAATCACGGTTTAACTTTATTAATTTGGATCTTCCTTAATTTTTCTCAGCAGTTTTTTAGTAACTGCCAGTGTCAGAGATATAGCACATTTTTCATTAGATTTACTCCGATGCATCTGAGGCTTTTTGGTTCTATTGCTTCACATAACATTAAAAAAGTTATTCTGCAATGTTTAATTGTTGATGTGTAGAAATATAGTTGCTTTCTAAATATTGACCTTATATTAAGGAGTCTTGATGAATTGATGGCAATTCTCACCATTTGTAGATGTTTTTAAAAAGATTTTCTACGTACACAATTATGCCACCTGGAAATAAAAATAGTTTAGCTTTTTTTTTCCTTTTTAAATCTGTATGCTCTTCCTTTTTCTCTTAATATACTGGCTAGAACTTTCAGTGTAATGTTAATTAGATGTGAAGATGGTTGGTTATCCATGTCTTACAGTCTCAGGGAGAAAGCAAACATTTCACTATTAAGTGTGATGTTAGCTCTAGGGTTTTTGTAGATAATTCTTTATCAGTTTAAGAAAGTGTTCCCCTCTCTTCCCATGCTGAGAATTTTTATAAACAGATACTGAACTTTATTAAATGCTTTTTAAACTCCATCTAATGAGACAATTTTATGATTTTTCTCCTTCCTGTTAATATGGTGAATTATATTGATGTATTAAAAAAAATTAAGCCATTTACTGGAACAAATCTCATTTGTCATAACATAGAATCTTTTTTAAATATTTATCTGGATTTGATAATATTTGTTTAGGATTCCTAAATCTGTTTTTATGAAAAAATATTGTTTTTTCAAGGAATTTGTTCATTTCTTCTTGAGTTATCAACTTTATTGACAAAAGCTGATAATATCCTTTATTTTTAATTTTTTTGATCTGTAGTTATGTCTCTTGTTCCTAATATTGGTAATTTGTATTCTTTATCTTTTTTTCCCTCTGGTCAGTCTTGCCCAGTAACACCTATCAATTTTATTTATTTACTATTATTTTTAAGAGAATTTTCCTTTCTTTTTGAAAAATAAAAAATTATCACTCTGATATATTGCCAACTCTTGTTTATCTGTATTTGACTTATTCATGTTACGGATTATCCAAGGAAAATTTTTTTTTAAGTCTTTTCTTTAAAAAAATTTTTTTTTATTGTTGAAAGTATTACATATATCCCCCATAGTTTCCCATTGCCCCCTTCTAAGCACACCCCCTCTTCCCACCTATCAATTTTATTAATATTTTCAAAGAACTAACTTGGTTTTGTTTGGGTTCCTCTTCTGTATATCTGCTTCCTCTTTAATTGATTTCTAATCTGTTTTATTTCTACTTTTTTGCATTTAATTTTGCTGTTCTTTCTTTTGCTTCTTGAAATAGACTAGTAAGTATTTTGTTTGGGACATTAGCTTTTCTTACCACATGATACTTTATCAGTTATAGAAGATAATATTGAACTACTAAAACAGTACTTTTCTATAAATTTCCTATTTCCCCTCTTCAAATAAATATATTGCATAATATATGTTTTTGAAGTATGAGCCATCTTAGCCATTGTGGTGGTATGCTTTGCAAATAGGAATAAAATATTTTTATTTTACTAAGTATGAAGAATGAATAAAATGTCTAACAATAGATAAGCCAAATGTTAAAGCCTTTCAGTCTGACTCCCACATACTTATAAATAAGAATGTTTATAATTCTCTAAAATTTTATAAGTAGTGAAATTGTGATTTCAGCTAATTTAAATAAGTGACATTGAGACACTCAGGATTTTTGTGTTTGCTTTTTCCTTTTAGGAAGCTGCAGTAAAGGAAGATGAAGAAGAAATTTCTGACAAAGGCAGTGATTCTGAAGAAGAAGAAAATAGAGACTCCCAGAGTGAAAAAGAGGATGGTAGTGACAGAGACTCTGATAGAGAGCAAGATGAAAAACAAAACAAAGATGATGAAGCAGTAAGATTTAGGGGTTTAAATAATTGGAATTATAATTCAGATGATAATTTTGGTTTTTGTTATTGTTTATTTGCTTGCTTCTTTACTTGTCAGTTTGCTTTCATTATATTTTATAATCCTGTATTGTTTTGTAGGAATATATTTGAGGAATAGTGGTCAGAATTATAAAGATATCAAAGAGAAAGGGAGAGGGATAGATAGAAACACCTCGGCTGCCTCCTGCACACCCCCTACTGGGGATTGAGTTTGCAGCGCAGGCATGTGCCCTGACCAGGAATAGAACCAGCGACCTTCTGTGGCATGATGCTCAACCAGCTGAGCCATACCAGCTGGCTAATTTTCTTAAAGCTTAGATTACTAAATAGATTAGGATCTGGGTCTGAAGTGACTTTAGTTCTTTCTCTTAAAGCAATTTTCAGTGCTGGAGATGACTGCAAGTATGAGTAAAGAAAAGTGGGTTATGAAATAGGTAGCAGCTTACTTGGAAGAGTCTCTCAGAAGTTCAATGTAATGTTTAGGGTAAAGAAACATTACTGTGAACTCTAAAGTCAAGAGGTTGGTTAAGGGAAATGCTAACATTTATAGAAAGCCACTTTATTTGAAGAGGTATATTAGACATTAAGGAAAGGGGAGTTTCTAAGCAATTTATTAAGATTGTGAAGTTATAAAGAACAGAAAACAAAATCTCATGGCATGGCATTAAGTTCCACATAGTTTATGGGAGGACAATAGGAAAGAAATTTGGTGGACACATAATGGTCATTACAAGTTGCCTTTAAATGATCTCTAACTGATCAGCTGTTTTCTTTATGTTTGTGTTGTTCTTTTTGATTGGGCCATTTATCTAAAATAAGTGGTTTAGGAGAGAAAAAGAGATTCCCTGAAGGCAAAAATAAAGGGCAAGGGTATAAGTAAAGGAAATAATGTATCTGCTCTTGGGAGTGGTGGAAAAAAAATAAGGATGATTGTTTTTTGTTTTTTAAAAAACAAATATTTTTATTGATATCAGAGAGGATGGGCTGCCTCCTGCACGCCCCCCACTGGTGACGGAGCCTGCAACTCAAACATGTGCCCTGATAGGGAATCAAACTGTGACCCCTTAGTTCACAGGTCGACACTCAATCACTGAACAACACAGGATGAGCCATACTTAGAGAATTAAGCTGATGGTCAGAAAATTAAAACCTAGCAAAGAAATTATCCCTAGCCTTGCTTTGAGAAAGAGTTTATATTTTCCTTTCTGAGTCTATAAAGGTTAGAAGAGTTAATTCTTAGGATTCGAGTTTCTTCAGATGACCAAAAATACATTCATTTACTTGACAAAAATGATACAAATAAATAATTATTCATTATCTGTCATATTCCAAGCACTACATTAGATGACAGGAGGGCAAAGCCAAATGTGAAAGTTTCTGCCCTTGAATGAGAGTAGAGTAGTGGGCAAGGCAGATAAACATTAGAGTGCAAAAGAGATTATGCACATTTACAGCAGGGTGCAGTTATAGCAGCAAGGAGAGAGAGCAGAGAGAAATTTGTGAAATTCAGGGACTCATACTTCAGGCTTTAGATGCTCCTGAAAGAATAATGAGTAGGGATTTGCCAGGTAGAGAAAGGGGAAAACAAAATGGAAACGGTGTAGGAGACGTGAAATAGCTTTGTTAATTCAGAGAAGTCTAGGTAGTTTGAAATGACTGTAATAAAGAGTGCCAGGGGGAAGGCAGTGATAGGAGACTATAGAGATGGGCCAGGTCAGATTGTGAACGGAACTGTGGTCATGCTAAATAGGTTAGATTTGTTGCATGAAAAGTAGTGTTGTAAGTTTTGAGCACGGAAATGATCAGATTGGTCTGATTGAACTTAGCAGTAGTTAGTGTTTTCAGGAATAATCCTATGTAATAAAAGGCTAACATGCAAATTGTCCCCTCAACCAGGAGTTTACCCCCTGTTGCCCTTTCCTCGGCCAGCCCGGCCCGATGTTGGCCCTGATTGGGGCAGATATCCAGACACCACTCGTGCATGAATTCATGCACTGGGCCTCTAGTTTAGAATAAGATGGAAACTCCTCAAAATGATTGAAAACATACTTGATTTCATTTAATTTTTATTTTACTAGGAGTGGCAAGAATTACAACAAAGTATACAGCGAAAGGAGAGAGCTCTACTGGAAACCAAATCAAAGATAACACATCCTGTTTATAGTCTTTACTTTCCTGAGGTGAGTTACACATGGTCTAATGCTCCTTACTCCATTCACTTACTCTTCATATATTTTTCAGTTGCCATTTATTCTTTTGTGGTGGGTAATGGTCAGATGTGCTAAATGCAGTCTATTCTTGATAGGCCTCATTTCTGAGGCATATATTTCTTTTTTTAAGGTATGTTTTTATTGATTACAGAGAGAGGAAGGGAGAGGGAGAGAGAGAGAAACATCAGTGATGAGAGAATCATTGATCAGCCACCTCCTGCACACCTCCTGGACCCCAGGCATATGCCCTGATAGGGTATTGAACTATGAAGGATATATCTCTATATGAATTCTGTATTTAAAAACAGGATTGTTAACTTTTAAAGAATTTTTGTGGTTTACTGTGCATGTGTGCAGATTACTAAGGGTTGTGCTTTATGATGATTTCTCATTAGCAGTTCAGGCAGCGACTAATACAAATTCAAATTTTGGCTCTAACTATGTGGCTGTTGTGAATCTTTCACTTCTATCAAGTTTTAAGTAGGATGAAGGTTCTTAAAGTTTTCCCATGGGCTTTCTCTCTCAGTCCTATACTGGCCGCCTGGAGCTACTAGATTTGCTGTGGTCCCAGTAATTGCCTCAGTCTTTGGCAGTTGTGGGACCAGCGAAAGGTCAGTAATTGTGAGCGTGGCTGAGCCCCTGGCTCTGGACAGGTCATTGCAGTGCAGCTTGTTCCCTTGTTCTTGTTTACTTTGTGCTTGAGGCTTGCTCAACTTATGATCTCCTTGATAGGCTATATTTGCCTTTCAAATGTGCTTGACATTTCACTGCTGTGGATGATTCTGTCTGTGGCTTGAGGTCAAGAACTAGTTGCCTCAGTCATGGAGGCTGTTCCACAGAATGCCTCACAGCTTTGCCACAGAGCCTTCGATTTACCAACCATGTTTGGCAGGTGATTAACAGCAGAAGCATGTTAACTTTGCTTTCTGCTCTAGAATGTCTATGCAGAGTTGCTGGGGGCTGCTGAAAGCAAATTCCTAAGTAATAAATGAGTCGCTTGGACAGACTTTTATTATGGCTTGGTGATACGGCAGCCCAGGATTCCATTTTAATGGGCACGCTGATCTACGGCATGTCCTGAACTGTAGCCCATCTGTTAGGGCATTTTCCCCATTGTACTGGTCGTCTGCCAACCACAGGGCTCCTGAAATCAAGCGAATAAATTCACTCAGTGATTCATTTTTAAAAGTGCCATGGGATTCTATAAGCTGCATAATTTTTATCCTTGTAACAGTTTCATTTTAGACCATGCTTAGTTAACAGGCAAAATATTCATTCACTTTCTTAGAACATTTTAGCAGTAAAAATACCTTTTCCCAATTTAATTTGCATCTGCATGTTAAGCATCTTAAAGTACCATTTATCAAATAAAATTTATTTAGGACTTTTCTAATGTTTACCTGTCTACTTCCCAAGTATCTACCCAACTACCCTAACTACCACACTACCCACTGAAAGATTTATATTAGTAATTGACTTACATGTTCTTAAAACTCATTTTCTATATTTAATATGTTAAAAATGGTTGGGAATCACATACAACAATTTTGTTTAAGATGCAAATAACTCTGAGTAGAGCATCTTTTCCACTTTCACCTTGTGCATCAGAGTTTAGGCACAGGTGCCATGCCACAGATTGACATTCCCTTACTTCTTAATAAATATTCTGGAATGAGTCTCGTTTTAATAAGTAGTCTTGGATAAGCATTCTCCAAGTGGAGAAGTAAAGAAGAAATGCATGTGCTTCTTATGTTACATGCATGTTTTGACAGTGAAATGTCACAACTACCTAAATAACAGAGGCTTTTACCTCACTTCATTAATAATCATAACTTATTTATTGCAGTCTTAATGCTAGACATTCTAACATATTTTACTTGTATGATCTCAGTTCATCTTGACTACACAGCCTGAGGTAGGCACTCATCATTTAACAGAAGAGAAAAGCAATGGTTAGAGAAGATATAATTCCGGTCTGTGTGGCTTTAAAATATGATTGGCAAACTGCAGTGTGCAGACAGATCTACTTCCTCCCAGTCTTGTGAATGAAATTTTATTTTAAATGTTTTACTGGAACACAGCCACGTTCATTCTTGTCCTGCTACAATGGAAGAATTGAGTAGTTAAAACAGACTCTATGGCCCACAAAGCCCAGGAATTAACACTCCACTTTCAGGCAATTATGTTTTTACCCACTTTGTGTGTGCAGAACACACAGACAAACTTATATACACACATCTACCTGTTGTGATCATCCTAACCCTCATGTTAAGCTGAGGACGGGTTAATCATGTACTTGTGATTTATTTATTCTGCTTATTAATGTTGAATTACTTTGTTGTTAAAGTCATTTAAACAAAAGATCTTTTAATTTTAATACCTCATGGTTAAAATAAAATGGAAAGTGCAAGTGATTTTGGCTTAAACACAAACATTTTTCCTATGATACTTCAGTACTAGTCAAAAGTTATTTTTTTAGCCTTCCTTTGGATGATTGAGAATTTAGAATAGTCTGATGTTGTTTTGGTTATATATTTAGAATATTCTACAGTTTATTTTATTGTTGGCGCCAAAATGTTTAAAGCTATTTTATAAAGATATCTTTCCTAAGCAGATGACTAAACAATCACTGATGTACTGTAATATAGTGATGGTAACTGAGCAGACTGGAGTTCAGTACTTCTAGGCTGCTTTGTCGTCTTTTTTTTTTTTTTTTTTTTAAGTTTTTCTCTCTCTGTTGGTTCTCTCTGGTGCCAGGTGTCTCCCCCCCCCCCCCCCCCCCCAGTTCCTTTTCTGTTCCTAATCTTTTATGAAGTACACCTAAAAATGCTGAACTTATTAATATGAAAGTCATGTGCAGTGAAAGGTATAAGTAGACTCTTAGATTTCAAGGTGGTCTCTTATGAGTAATGTATTTCAATTTATTGATTTCTCATTTGGTTGCCCAAGTCTCTTTCACTCCTACTTTCTGACTTTTGCTTATTATTAGCTGAGATTTCTAAGATTATTTGCTAGATGCTTTTGTAATAGTTTATAGTTTCCTTTTTAGAATATTTTCTTAGCTTTCTTAAGATTAATCAGGGGTTTTTAATACAGAGGCCCATTGATAGGGCCTAAGGGGCCATTGGAAATCCCAAACTTCGATACATAATTCTTTTGGAGAGCAGATCTACAAATGAATAATAAAAAAATTTTTTGTTCAGTAAATATTTGTTATACATCTATTTTGTACAGTACAGCAATGAATAAAATAAGGATAATGCCTCTTAATTGAAACAAGGCAAAACTCTAGTTCTTTCTGATTATTTATATTCTTTTTTTTTTCTTCTGCAGGAAAAACAAGAATGGTGGTGGCTTTATATTGCAGATAGGAAGGAGCAGACATTAATATCAATGCCATATCATGTGTGTACACTAAAAGATACAGAAGAGGTAACGATCCAACAATAGTATTTTAGTTTTTACAAATGTACAGCATCTCATCATCATGCTGCTTCATAAAACTTGTTTTTAGAAAACAGTTTATCATATTTGGCTTATTGCATTTTAAGACATTTTAAACTATTCTCTGATGTCTACTGGGGGAAGGTCATTTAAAATTTATAAAGTTTGAATGGCTAAGGTAGACAACTTGGTCAGTCTTTGAAAAAACTTGTTTTCAACTTATTTTTGGAAGTTTTCACTGTGTCTAAGAATGTATACTTTTCCTTCTCTCTGGATTTCATTATATTGTACAAAAATGTATGATTTTTTTATTCTCATTGGATTAGTGCTAAGATATATACCTTTCCTAAAAACAAATGTAAGAATGGGTGATTAGATTTTTAGCGTGGAATTTTTGAGTATGTGGCATTGGCCACTGTTGTGATGAACCTATTTTACCTCTTGGGAACGCTTTTCTTTTTTATTCTTGATTTTTTTTCCCTCCCTACTCCTCACCCAAGGAGTGAGGATATTTTTCTATTGCTTTTTAGAGAGTAGAAGGGAGGGCAGAGGGAATAGAGAGAGTAGAGAGTAACATCGATGTGAGAAAGACACATTGATTGGTTGCCTCCTGCACACACCTTAACTGGGGTCTGGAATGGAACCTGCAACTCAGGTCTATGCCCTTGACTGGGAATTGAGCCTGAGGCCCTATGGTATGAGGGCTGGAGTTCTAACCACTGAACAACATGGGCGAGGGCTAGTTTTGTTTTTAAATTCAGGATATAGTCAAGGATCATGTATTATGTTTGGTTGTCATTCTTCTTTAGAACACTTCCTTGGCTTTTTCTTTTTCAATTTTTTTATGCCATTGATATTTTTGAAGAGTTTAGACAAGGCATTTTATATACTATCCCTTCGTTGAATTTGTCTCATTAATTACTCACGGTTATATTCATTTTAAATATTTTTGGCCAAAATACTAGTACTCAGATGCTGTAATCTTAGTGCATCACTTTAGGGGCACAAATGTATCAGTTCTTCCCATATTGCTGATATTATGGTTGATCATTTAGTTAAGGTTTTTCTCTCTTGTGAAAGCTATTTTTTTTTCTTTTCTTTAACCTGGGGGCGTGATACTTGGGTACCATGTTACTATCCTGTTCTTCAACATACATTGATGATTCTTGCATGCATCAATTTTTACTATGCTGGTTGTATTCAATGTAGTTTTAATGAGTGAATCTGAAGATTGAAAATCGGGGTGTTTGAATTGTATTTCATTTTGTATCTGTTTGTGACTATTCTTTTTTGTCAGGTTATTGGTCTTTTAATTGGTTTTAGAATTTTTTTTTTAATGTTATGAAAACAGCTCTTTTTATATGTATTGCAAATGTTTCTCCCTAGTTTGTTTTACTTTTACGATTGTTTTTACCAAACAAAATTATACATATTTGCTTACCCATTTATTTATTTGGAATTTTTAAATAATGGGATTGAATAATTTTTCTTTTTATGATTTTTAGTTTTTTATATTTTAGTGACCTAACTGTGAGGTCAATAAAAAAATAAAAATAAAAGATTCTCCCATCATATTTTTCTAGTTTGTATTAATAGCATATCATTAAAGATTTTAAAAATAATTTTTAAGTTGATTTTTAGAGAGAAAGAGAGAGGGAGAGGGAGACATAGACATCAGTTTGTTGTTTCATTTATTTAAGCATTCATTGGTCGATTCTTGTATGTGCGCTGACAGGAGATAACCCACAACCTTGATGTATCCTCATGATGTTCTAACCAACTGAGCTACCCAGTTGGGGCTTAATGGCACATTTCATATATAATCTTGCCTACAAAATCTGAATTTTGGAGATTGGAGGCAGATAGCCAGAAATTCCAAATGTTATCTTAAATATACTTCCTTTGTCCAAATAGAATTGAAACTTCTAAAACTTTGTAACTCTGTATTTGAAGTTTATGATTTGATGGGAAATAAAATATCTTCTTGACCTTTTAAGGTATTGAGCATTTGTAAAGGAAAAACACAACTTCCGTGTTTCTACTTTACTCAATCACTTTACTAACAACCTCACAATACTTCTGACACAGATGTGTTGGTTTGCCCCCAACACCAAGCAATTCTTTGTCATATAAGCTAAGTGTCCTATAGTTTAACTAAATGCTGACACTATAGCTGGATAGTGTCAGATCTCACAGGCTAAGCTCAGTCCCACAAGACTGCTGCCCCCCACTTTCCCACTTCAGGTGCCACTCATAAGTCCCAAGTTGTCACCTGTACTTCTTACCAAACGGCTAAAAATCAGGGTCCCATTACTCTCTCCCTAGGTTCAGTAATTTTCCAGAATGGCTCACAGAACTCAAGGAAACACATGGACCATTTTGTTATAAAAAAAATATGATAAAGAATATAAATGAACGTCCATATGCAAGAGTTACGTAAGAAAGGTTTGTGGGAAGAGGCATGGAGCTTTCATGCTCTTTCTGAGTATACACTCTCCCAGTACCTCCATGTGTTGACAATCTCAGAAGGTCTCTGAACTTCTTGTTTGGGAATTTTTATGTAAGCTTCATATCATGTATGTGTGATTGATCATTAACTCAATTTCCAGCCCTTCTCTGGAGAATGGGGTGGAGGACTGAAAGTTTCAAGCTTCTCTAATCATGGCTTGTCTTTCTGGTGACCAGTTCTTACCTAGGAGTCCACCAGAAGTCACCTCATTAGAACAAAACATTGTGATCACCCAAGAAATTCCAAGAGATTTACGATCCAGGGTTAGAGAGAAAATATTAGAACATGCTTGTCACTTAGTAAATTATAGGGATTTGAGGAGTTCTGTGCTAGGAACTAACAGCAGGGACCAATATATTTATATATTCTATTATTTTACAACATTTATTTTAGAAATAAGTAAATTTGGCAAGAATTATTACCTTTTTGGTGAAATCTTTATTTCAGCATTTCATTAATTTTACTTTTATATCCTACCTACTTCATTTCTTCAAGTTGTCAGGGTGTGATGGTCAACAAAGAACTTTGTTGCTTTAAATATACTTTCTTAAATTATGGCAATACAAATTAACCCTATCTGCCTAATTTTATTTCCTTTTATATAGTGTATATATAATGTATGGCATAAGTATCATATACATATTTGCTATTAGAACTTTTGTAGCATTTTTTAGGCTGTCATGTGAGTACACACCTAGCTGTTAAATACTCTGGTGAAGGAATTTTAGGAGTGCCGTGGTGTTTTTTCCATTCCTCAAGATACAGATTTTAAGTGCTAATTTTTCTTCCAGGTGGAACTGAAATTTCCCGCACCAGGCAAGCCTGGAAATTATCAGTATACAGTGTTTTTGAGATCAGACTCCTATATGGGTTTGGATCAGATAAAACCTTTGAAGGTAAGAATAGAACTCTTCAGTAAATGTGGTGGTTTATTTGAAGAAGTGCTTAATATACTAGGGAAGCATTTCTAGTTTTAAAATGTAGAGTAATGGAAAAAGAGTTCATCTCATACTTTATATATGATACATTTGATGGACTATTTTTTTCAGCAATAAACCAAATTTGATAAGTTAAAGGGATGTTAACGATTTAGAAGTTAGATATAATTTACTGTAATAATATAGAATCTTGACTATAAATTACTTAAGTGATACCTTTTAATGTGCTGTAACTTTATAGGGGTTCTGTTTTCTTTAGAAAAAGGATATGTGTTTTCCCGCAGATTCTCTTGGCCTGTTTATTAATTTTCTTTGTTTTAAAGGTTATTTAGGTTACTGTAATAGGGGAAATGTTCATTTTATCAAAGGAAGGGGATCTTAAAACACAAGGGTGTCATCGGCGAGTTTTATGGAGGTGGTGAGGAGAGGTGGAGATGGTCCTACCTTGGCTCTGAGAGGGCAGCAGATCCTTTACACTTAGCCATCTCCCAGAACACAAAAGAAGGGAAATTTCTCAACTGGGGTTGCTCAGATAAAGTTCAACATTGTCAAAATAAAGCATGTAAAACATTTAGCACAGAGACTTAGAGCTCATAGTAGCGACTTCTAAGTGACAGCAATTGTGAGGAATTGTGAGGAACAGTAAAAGCTACCCTTTAAAGACTCCATCACTAGGAGTTTCCTCATGGGCAGCTGTTCCATATTCATTTTTTGAATATTCTAGTTCTGTGAAATATGCCATTGATATCTTGATAGGAATTACATTGATTCTATAGATTTTTTTTTTGTATGGACATTTTAATGATGTTAATTCTTCCTATTTATGAACATAGTATATGCTTCCACTTAATTTGTATCTTTAGTTTCTTATTAATTTTCTGAGTCAGGTCTTTTACATCCTTGGTTAAATTTATTCCTAGGTGTTTTTTGTTTTTGTTTTTGTTTTTTTATGCAATTGTAAATGGAATTGTTTCCTTAGTTTCCCTTTCTGATGGTTCATTATTGCTATATAAAAATGGGGTTTATTAATTTTGAAAGTAATTTATTCTTTAGCATTTTAGAGTGTATACTCTGTGTAAGTGTCATTTGAACCATACTTCCCTTAGTCTTTACTATTTCACTGCAGGTTTTTATGAAAGCATTCTGTTGGCTTAGGAAGATTGTGCTGCATATCATTTCATATGGACTGGAGTCCCAGAATAAAGGGAGCCAGTAAAGGCACGCTTCTTTTCCCACAGGTTACCATATGTCTTTCCATTGGCTGTAGACTTTTACTTCATGAGTCTGGCGGCTACAAAATACATCTTTGAAAGTCACATTTGAGTTTTTTCCTCTCAGCAGAAAACATGAAGACATCACTCATTGTTCTTGCTCAGGAATCACAATTATTAATCTTTCATGCCACAGAATAAATAGTATAGCTTTTATAAAATCAAACTATCAAACAGTTAGAAATTTGACTACATTTACATGTTAGTGGACTTACCTTCTTATTTTTGGGATGAATGAATGTTCTAAATGAATACTTCAAATTTAGAGCTATGACCATAAAATCTAGTCCTATATAATAAAAGCCTAATATGTTAAATATATTGGTCCATTCAACCAATCTTAGTGTGATATGCTAATAATATGCTGAGGCTGCTCAACCACTGGCTATGACCTATGACCACCAGAGGGCAGACAGTTGACTGGTCAACCAGTCAGTATGGTGTACACTGACCACCAGGAGGCAGATGCTCTTGACTGGTAGGATAGCTTGCTGCTGGGGTCCAGTCGATTGGGATTGAGCGAGATGGGCTGGACATGCCCTAGAGTCCTCTTGTGGTCCCTCCCTGTTTGGCCAACTTCTTGTGTCCCTCTCCAGCCCTGATCATGCATCGGTGGGGTCCCTTGGCCAGGCCTATACCCTCTTGCAATCCGAGATCCCATGGGGGATGTTGAATAGCTTGGTTTGGCCCTATCTCTCAGGCTAGACCAAGGGACCCCAGTGGTTTATGAATTCATGCACTGGGCTTCTAGTTATTTATAAATGCTTTGGTCAAAGATTTCTTTTTACCAGTTATGCCTATCAACATTTCTGTTGACTACATTTAATTCTTCTTTATAGTTGGAAGTTCATGAGGCTAAGCCTGTGCCAGAAAATCACCCACAGTGGGATACAGCAATCGAGGGGGATGAAGACCAGGAGGACAGCGAGGGCTTTGAAGACAGCTTTGAGGAAGAGGAAGAAGAAGAGGAAGATGATGACTAAGCAGGACTACAAATGGACCATATTTGCACATGTTTTGCAAATTTTTGCTGTTTTGGAAGTGTATAATAAACCAGAAACAGTGCAGAACTGATGTTGAGGGAGGTATTCTTTCCTAGAAATGGGTGCATAATATAACTTGGGCAGTGCTGGTGCCTTGGTACAGTCTGAAAAATGCGTAAGGCTTGTTAAGCCTTTCAAGTATGGGAGGGTGCATTTACTTCATCTGCAAATGATAATAAACCCTTTGTTATAATGTCCAGAAGTGTGGGCTATGTATTATCTGATCAATTTATGGTCCCAGTAAAAGAAAAAGTACATGAAAAACAGTCTATAAATGAGCAACTTCTTTGTTCAGTTTTAGTTTTAGCAAACATTAAAGTATGATAAACATCACAACTATGTTTTAAGTAACATCTGCTCAAATTCTAATCTTGGTAAGCACTATCATTCATTTATTGACATTTTGCAGTGATACAAGATTATCACAGTTCCATTTATAGCTTTAAACTTTTTATTTTTAGCTGTCATCATAAGTTGGCATTCGCTCACATTCCACATTAAATAGAGGGCTACATTTTGGGATTTTCCTTTCTTAATTTCCCAGAGTTAATGGACAGATTATAAAAATGGCTTTTAATGGCTTAAAACATTTTTAAGCCTCTGAGCAGATCAATGCAGGATCTAGTTCTTTTTGTAAGCTATAGATCTAAAAATGATGTGGGACCATATGTTCTCTGATGTGGTGACTTACGTTAATAAACCTTTTTTAAAAGGTTCATTAAAAAAGCTGAAACACATTCTTAGCTTTTAATCTACCTGATTCTATCACAAGCCTTTTAAGGAAAAAAATATATAAATGCAAAGGAGGCATTTTTTGTATTCATTTTTGACTCCTGTCAATAAAATAGAAGTTTGACTCGTTTTACGTTTGTAATGGTGTGTGTCTTTTTACTCCCAGAGGAAGGATATGATAGGATAATTCTTTTATTTTCTAACTAAAAATTTAATATTGTCCATTACTGCTGAAGTGACTGCTCTTTCTATAGACCATAGAAAAAACCATGAATGGGAGGAACTTTCCTCTCACACTGCATCCTAGAAGGAGAGTGCTTATAAAGAGTAGGAATATATATGTGATGAGTCGTTGAAGGAAGATGAATATTTTTATGACTAGGTATGGAGGCAGCTTAAGTTCCTGATATTACAGGACTGATTGTAATAATACTCTCCTATCAAAAATCTTCATAGGCCAAAGTACTATCAGGATACTAATTTGCAACCTTGTGTATTTAAAAGTTTGCCACTTTCATGTAGAATTAGTACTGGTATTTTGTTACTTGAGTAATTGGAAATAAAACTTGAAAATGACCAGAAACATGAATGTTATTTTGGGTTCTAAACTGAGATACAGTGAAAGTAGCTTTTCCATTGGAACTTCCATCACCTGTTTTTCTTTTTAAAGAAAAAGGTGTGAGATCCTTATTAAAGGTGTGAGACCCTTCCTTGGCAGGCAGGAGTGCCATTGAGGATTTGTTTCTTTTTGAGTCAGGTTTTCCCCGGGAAGCTCCGCTGTCAGGGGAGGCAACTGGTGGCGGTGGGAGGGAGTGAGCAGTGAAAGGGGAGGCCAGAGAAGGCCTGTGGCATGAAGGCAAAGTGAGCACACCAAACTGTAACATGCGTATGTCATGGTTCTCTTGAAAAATTCTTTCCAAGAAAGGGATTTCTATCCTAGTGGCTATTTTCTCTTAAAGAGGCTTTTTCAGTTTATTGAAATAACTGGCTTCTTTCTGTTTGACTCTAGTAAGGATGATTTCACAACCCAGTAACTCCCCACAGTGCTCACCAAAACAGCATCATCACCTCAATCCACCACTCGGTATTCCTTTGCCCTTTTGGTGGGGCAAAAGTAGGCTTACAGTTGTTCATGTGGAAAATAATGCAATAATTAATAAATAATACAACAATAACTCTGTTCCATGTTCTCACGGCTATAAACCTGCTTTTGCCCCACCCTGTATTTGTACTTCCCAATAAAATAAGTACATTTTCCTCTAATGAGTCCATACCACAGTAATGAAAGGCTTGAGCCTTCTGGTTATGGTTCTCATCTTCCCAGCAAGTCTGGAAACTGCATCTCATTTTTCCTTCTCTTGACTGAGATTTAAGAACTATCTTAAACTTACCCTGGTTTGCATTTAATCTAATGAAAACCCTTATTGAGTGTAGTTCCCGTCAAAGTGACTTTTTGTCATCAGGATACATAAACTTACAGATGAAAGCACTGAGTGTGTGTATACAGAGTGAAACATTACAAAATTAAGTTGCATAATATTCTTATCTTTGTAATTGGTGAAGTACCTATTAAACTCTCCCAAGAGGAAACCACAAAAGTCTAGCAGTTGTAAATGTTTGGATTATAAAACGCAAGGCCCCACGCTGTCTCCTATGTGTATAACTCAATCTCAAAGTCAGATGTTCATGTCCTTTAAATTTTTTGATCAATTTTTAAAAATGAAGGGGCACATTGAATGAGGTTGTATAGAACGAATATTCTGTTATATTTTTCCTGCTTGCACTGAGGGGTGAAGGATCCGTCTGTTAGTGTGGTGGGAAGCTCAGGCCCTGGTAGGAAGCAGAGCGGGAAGAGTGAGGGGAAGGGAAAGAAGGTGTTGAATGTAATGAGGCTCTGAGCATATTATTATTCTTCATCTCAGGATATGTGCATTGATTTGAGAGAGAAACATCAATCAGCTGGCTTCCGTACCCTTTCAGGGTTTTAACTGGTAACCTCGGAATATGCCCTGATCAGGCATCAAACCCACAACCTTTTTAGTGTACAGCCACCCAGTCAGGGCTGAGCATATTATTCTTGACCACAATCTTTTCCCAGTTATTTGCTTTAGCCACCCAAAACCAGATACCGGAATGTTCTTTAGAAACAATTTTTTTTTTCAAATGTAATTCAGCACTTCAAATAGTTTTTGAGGATTGTTGATCGTCATTCATTGTCTATTTACTGAGTGTCTGTGTTCCTGGGTCTGTGATTGGATACTGGGGCTATGAAAAGAAGATAATTTATATATATATTTTTAAAAACATTATTTATTGATTGATTTTAGAGAGGAAGAGAAACATTGATTTGTTATTCCACTGATGTATTCATTGGTTGATTCCAGTATATCCCATAACCAGGGATCAAACCCTCGACCTTGGTGTGTAGGACAATGCTCTAACCAGTCAGGGCAAGAATTTGTGTTCCTAAGGACTCACTAGTATCTGAGCAGATGTGTGGCAATCTATTTTAATCCTTTAGCATAAGCTAATATCTGTTGTTTGGAATGTCTTTTTTTTTCTTTTCTTCAGTCTTTCCTCTGTAGGCAGAGGGATTATATTTTTAGGTGCTAGCTATTTATTGGCTTAAAAAAAGAAAGAAAATCCTTGACCTTTTTTTGTGTGTGTTTCTTTAAAACATTTTTCTTCCCAAATATTCGTACTCAACTCCTTGAAATCCCCTATTATAGTCTGCCTTAAAGTGAAACAGCCTAACAGTGAATTATAATGTGACATTTTGCCAGCTGTGTTGTGATTAATTCAAATACATCTTACGAAGTTTGCATTAAGCATCTTCACATATTGAAACTTGATGCTAGGGCTATTTTGCAAAACTTAAAAAATAAAGTAAAAGCTGTGATCTTGTACATTTTTGTAACCTGAGCTAAAAATCCAAATGCAGCGGTCATTGGCAGGCTGGAGGGCGGTGGTCTCAGGTGGGGGTGTACATTGCAGGGCATGGGATGGTCAGTCCACTGGGGAAATGTTCAAGTGGCTATTTGTATTTAATCTCATCCTTTAAAGTTTCTATTTTTGTGTGTTTTATAATGTACACAATATATTGTTCAATTGTACACTTATATAATTTATAAATAAATAATAAATTTTATTGATGTATTATATATTCCTTCTGATGTCAATGCATGGTAAAAACATTTGGAAACGCTGTGTTTAAAGTACTGATAGGATGACATCTAAGCTAAAATTAAGGTTGGGACCTTTGGCAAATCACCATTTGAGTTCACAGTTGAGCTACTCGGCTGAAGTCCAAGGGTTGGCATTCATTGTGTCTAGCCCTACAGTAGCCCCAGGAGCAAAGTGATGCTTCTGGAGATGGCACTGAGTCGGTTTGGTGATGGGGGTTATTGGAAGAGGGGAGGGGCCCATGAGATGGAAGTGGGGCAGGTGGGGGCAGAAGGCTGGTGGGTTGATTTCCAGCAAAGGCTGCAGCTCTGTTAGTGGTCCCTTCAGTCAGTGATTGCTACAAATTAAAGGTGAGTGTGGTAAGGGCTATCCGCTCTCTTCAGCACCAGGTTGTTCAGCAAAACCTGTCAAGCTGGGTCTGCAAAGGGAGCCATGTTCCTCTCACCTCTGAATGCCTGAGGTTCCGAGGTCTGGCTACATGAGGTTAAATCTGGTTGATGGCAGCAATGGATGTCACAGAGTCCACAAAGCAATTGCAAATAGTTACCTGTAGTTCTAAGTGTGGTTCCAGTAGAGGGCGATATGCCTGCACTTTCCACTTTGGGGACTAAGAACCACAATTAAGACGTGCTTTCTAGTGAATTTATATTTCTGAATTCTGGGATTATTTCCTTTTCCTTTAAACTCTGTTATTCCTATCTAACCGTTTTCTACTTGTGTCCTTTAATACATTCAATTCACTTCCCGGTTTTCTGGCTGGAAACATTAAATCCCTTTGCACAAACCACAGGAGACTATCCATATTTGTTCATTGTCTCAGAACTGTAGTAGATTGTTTTCTTGAGAGAGTAGGAAGTCAGGTAGGACAAAGAAATCTTTTTTTTTTTTCCTACAAATTTAAATTTTGGGGTGTTTTTAGAGCTATGAGAGGTTTGAGATTTTTACTCTGTAAGCGAATGAGTTAACCCACCTCAGGGCCATGGACACTGGCAGAAGACGGGACTCTCAGGTCTGAGGCACTGAAG